GCCGCCTTCCACTCATCTCCCTCCTTGATGCGGACGTTGTTGAACCCCCACCGGAGGTCGAGGGCTGAGAACCACTTGGCATCCTGGAGGCGGGTGAGGATGTCGGAAACTAGGGGGAGGGGGTAGGAGTTCTTGACAGTGATCTCATTCAGCTTTCGATAGTCCTGGACCAGCCTTAAGGAGCCGTCCTTCTTCTTCATGAAGAACACTGGGGCCCCCATGGGGGATTTGGATGGGCGGATCCGCCCATTTGCCAAGTTCTCCCTGAGGAAGTCATCGAGCTCCCCTTGTTCTGCAGGGGACAGTGGGAAGGTCTTTCCTCGTGGCAGCTTAGCCTCGGGGGTGAGGTCAATGGCGTGGTCCCAAGGTTTCCAGAGTGGTAGTTGATCAAAGGCCTCTTTCGAGAAGACATCCCTGAAGTCTCGGTAGCACTTGGGCACCATCTCCTCGAGAGGCTTTTCCCCTGGGGTGGGGTCCTGCGCTCTTTGGGCCATCCGCTGCGATGGGGTGGTGGTCGCCCTCAGGTCGTGTCCCCATCCTGGGGGAATCATGGCTGCATACAGTCCATCCCCAGGTTCTACTGTGAGGTCAGGCTCCTTCGGAGCTATTGGCGCCACCCTGAGCCTTTGGCAGGCAGGTGGGCAGCAGGACATGATGACCTTTTGTCGGGCCCAGTCCACTTCCGGGTTGTGGTGTGTCAACCACGAGTGACCAATAATGACTGACTGGCGCCCCAAGTTGGTCACTGCAAAGCAAGCTCGCTCCATGTGTTGACCAAACATAAGGAGTGCGTCCACCTCCTCCGTGATGGATCCATTCTCATTTGGGGTGCCATCCACATTGTGGACCGGGATTGGTTGGGGTAGGGGGGTAGTCTCCAGGCCATGCTTCCGGACGAATTCACGACTGACAAACATCCCTGTGGCCCCTGAGTCTAGGAGGGCAGAGGTGGTCACTGAGGCGAGAGAGGTGGTTGCAGTCAGCTTCACCAGAAGGTTGAGGGAGCGAGGAGGGCGTTTGGATAGTACGTAGATCGTGGGTGGGGGAACAGCAACCTCAGCCAAGGCACATTGTGGGTTCTCTCTGCGGGGTTTTGTGGGTGTGGCTCTTTTTTTCTTAGCGATCACTTGGTGTAACTTAGGTTGCGCTGTAGTCCTGGAATTGCCATGGTATCTACATGCAGGTACAGTGACGCTGGGGGACGACCGGGGCGCATCCCTCACCGGTCGTCCTCCTGAAAATCCTCAGCAGGTCTCTCCTCCCCCGCTTCCTCCTCTGCACGGTCCAGCTCCTGGGTGAGGGGGCAGTCCTTTAGCAGGTCTGCGATCGCCCGGAGGTCTTCCAGGGCCAGGCGGGTCATCTCCCTAGGGGCCTCCCCTTGTAATGTGGCCCGGGCCTGATAGGGTCTCGGCCTCAGGCAGTCTCGGGCTATGTGCCCTAGCCGATTGCAGTTATAGCAGGGTCCAGTGCGCCTCTGCTCGGTCCTGGGGGGGCGGATGTGGTCCAGGTCCATGGGTTGGGGGCCGACTTTCAGGGCTGGGGCTGAGGGTGTGGATGCAGCAGGAGGGGGAACGGGCCCAGGAGGAGGTCGGGAGTGAAATGGGGATGGCTTGACAGCCAGGGGGCGGGCTTGAGCTTGGGTGGCTTGGAATCGTCGCCACTGATTGTCGAGGAGGGAGGCTTCACGCTTCCATTCTGCCCATGTCGTGGGCATGGGCTGGAGGCGATAGATGTTTTCGCGAAGGCGTGGGTGAAGGGCGTGCTCAAATCGGTCCACAAGAGCAACATCTCCCATTCGTGACACTGGGCCGTGCAGCTCAAACTGCTGGATCAGTTTGTCTACCGACTCATTCCCTTGTCGGAGTGAGGCAAGCTTTTGATGGGCTGTGGCTTGTCGGTTTGGGTCTGCAAACATAGAATCGAGTTCCACCGCAAAGTCATCAAAGGAAATGGCTGGGGCTCCTGGGGCAAGGAGGGTGTTGATGCGTTGGGTGGCCCACGGTCCGGCAGTCCCTCCTTTCATGTATGACAGGACAAACAGGACTTGGCTGTGTTCGTCCGGGAACTCGGCATGGCGCATGCTCATGTAGAGTCCACACTCTGCCTTGAAGCGGTCTAGGTCATCTTGTGACCCAGAGAAGGGGGTAGGGGTGGCTACTTTGGGTGGCTTATGAGCCGGAGTGGGTGTAGGGGCCGGGGCTGGGGCTGTGGGTCTGGTCTGGGTGGCCAGTTGGACCTGGAGATCTTGGAGCTGGCGGGTCAGCTCCACTATCTGATCTTCCAGCGACATTGGGGGGGATAGAAGTAGGTTGAACCCTTCTTCTGCTGTCAGGGCTCGGTCCTCGATCAGGGACAGCCCGACCTCAGGCCTAGGTGTGTGCGGTCTTCCGGGTGGTTGGGCACTAGACCCCGTCCTTAGCTCCTCAAACTCACTGAAGGGACTAAGCGGGGATTGAGTTGTCATGTATTACAGAGGGTAACTACAACTTGCCTAAGCGGGGATTGAGTTGAGAAGAAGGGTAAGTTTCCCTATTCCCCGCTTGGCTACTATAAAAAGGAAGTGTACTGTACAGTTCATAACGTGACTCCGGGTAGAAGCCGAGCATGTTCCCGCGACTCGGAAAAGGTGTCACATGGGTTAAGGCGAGTTGCTCGCCTTAACCCACGTGATTTTTCCTGCGGGCTCACATGCGGGCTGAAGTTGTGAGAGGTATGTAGGGATGGGGAGGTCTGGGAAGGTGGTTCTGGGGTGTGGTTGGGTGCCCTGACAGCAGGGTCAGGGGCCGATCCCTGACACTATTATAGCCTCCTGCAATGAGTGTGCCCCCATTTGCATACATCTTTCGTATGTAGAATGTTGAAATTTTATTTCTTTAAAATGCTTGTTTGCTCCTTGTGTATATATGCTTGTACCCTGTCTGTGATTTAATATCGCAAGGGAGGAGGATGTGAGGCCCCGGCCCATGTCTATATTCCACCCACAACATCAATTGATGTTGTGTTGTCTGATAATTATGTCGTGATGCTAATTTAGCGTCATGGAAGCTTCTCTATTTATTTGTGCCGAGAATGCATCAGAATGTATATAAACCCTCGGGGTAGCTGTAAAAGGCAGATCAGCCTTTACTTCTACCCCATTAATATACAGCCCATCAAAGTGTATACTTAGACAGACCAACTGAGGCCTGAGGCAAACAGGGGAACGGAATGTACCATCCCCAAAACAAGTAAGATCCCCTTCAATTGCAGCAGCCTAATGCTGTTGACTGGGAAGATGAGAATGAAGACACTGATGCTGATGATTACGACTATCATTGCATCATTGGAAGAATTGTGGATGCGTTAGAAGCCATAGATTTAGAATCTGCCTAAATGATTGTTACATATGATGTTACAAGATATGTCTGGTATGGGCCGTGATGACTACAACATGTGCAGTATAAGTGTGAGCAAAGAATGCACAAGTAGAAAAGAAGAACGAAAAAAAAAACTGAACAGAACTGAGGAAGAACAACTTTGGCAACATCGGCGACAATGGCAGTGATGACAAAGCATCGGAAGTTGATGCTGGCAATTCATTTGAAAGGAGACGGTTGTGTAAAGTGTTGTAATAGAAAAAAGCGGTCATGGGCATCCCGGAGCTCCCAGGGCCCTTCAGGCCCGCTGTAATACTGCATTTTTGAGGGAATCTGTCAATTTCCAAGTGAATGGGGTATCAATATGTTTGTCAGAAATCAGCTCGAAAATGATCAAATTTCGGGGATTTTTCAATACAGTTAGGATTGTATTGCAATATAGTGCATTAGCGCTGCACTGCCATTCTGCGTTCCCCATTGATGAAGACTGCAGCACTGATGAACCACATAAACATACTGCTTGGCTCTGGACCTCAACTCATTACCAAACATACTACTGCAGAGGTGAAGCACCACATCACCTCTCTACCAAATGGCTGCCCAACTCAGCGAGTGCACGGTTTACTATCTCATACTCAAGGAGTCCCCTTTGAGAAAGCTGGAAACTGTGGGGGAACTTGAAAGTTTATCAACTGGGATCCGGATGTGAGCAGGATAAATCACAGCCATCAGTTGATTTTGCTAAATCTCCCAAGTAGCTGATACAAGGTCACCTTGAGCTTGAGCCAGATCCATGCCACCTCCGTGAACTACAAAGAGACATGCCACCGCGTCTTTGTCTTCCAGAGTACAGCCTGAAGCAGCGAGATTTCACATATTAAAAGGTGGATATTTTCAACATTCTGAAGAGTTTGTTCCTTACAAGCAAAAGCCGGCTTTTGAACCCAATGAAGAACTACATGCCGCATTTAGGCAGTATATGGGTCAGCATTATCAAGCAGACCAGCTTGTTTTTGTTGTTGAAACTGGTTGCAACCGTAACATTTCTTCGCGCTTGCATGGCTGGGGCACCACCTGGTATGTCATTGGGACTTCTTTGTCCGAGGCACTAAGTATGTAACATGCTCCGGATCTGTTTTTCAATCCTAATGTCCCTTTCTAAGGTACTCTATATCCCCGCTCTCAGTGTTGAAAGAATATTCAGGAGCGAGCATACACAACAGCCATGTCCAATGACTTCATCTGTTCTATCTGAGCCCCCAGCTGACTTAGCCATTTGGCTTAGATGATTGTTGGAATAATGATTTTCTGTCCTAAAAGTGCTCAAGCACAGCAGCTTAGAATGGCAGTGCAGCGCTAACCTACTATATTGCAATACAATCCTAACTGTATTGAAAATAAAAAATCCCTGAAATTTGATCATTTTCAAGCTGATTTCTGACAAACATATTGATACCCCATTCACTTGGAAATTGACAGATTCCCTCAAAAATGCAGTAACTTGGTTTTGCGGTCCATATATTTCGCTCAGTGCACCAGGGCACCAGTGCGGCTACCCAAAGCCTCAAAGACCATCTAAGACGGTAGGTTGGGTGGCACACCCCACATACCATTTTATATTGACTCAGTCACGAGTACTAGGTGCATACGTTGATACAGCCTCGATGGCTCTAGAAATCCCGTGAGGAACAGGATTTTTGGCACCATATTGTTTGAGAGGCTCCAATATTGAGTGAACAAAGAATTCGATGCTGTTCTGGAGCTGATGAATCGCCTCGGCGTTTGCTCCGACTCTCTATGACACCTAAGGTTGTGAGTATGATATTCCCATTAACCCGCTTTGGCAGAACGCACCTCTAATTGGCTAACAACTTCAAGCAAACCACCAATCACACTTTTGAGGCCAGGAACAGGGACACCATCTAGGCTCACATGCACGACACGAAGCACGCTCAGAACACCTTTCCGGACGGATCCGGCACCTGTGCCGCTCCCGATGCCTCCCTTGACATCTCCCCTGGTGTCGACTGCAGGAGACGGCAAGCGTGAAGCGGAAGGCGCCCTCGAAGCTTGATGATCTTTCCACGATTTGGATTTCTTTGAGAACATCCCCTTGATCCCCTTAGCCAAAGACATGCCGGGTAAGTTTCCACCCTTATTGTCTCCCTTGGAGCCTGCGCTGGTGTCGTCCGACGGCGCGAAAGAAGGCACCCCCGAAGCTTGGCAACTTTCCAATGTTTTGGCACCCTTGGAGAATTTCCCCATAATTTTCTTTACCAAAGACAGGCATGATAAACTTTTGCCTCCCTTGGCGCTTCCCCTGATATCGTCCGACGGAGGCTCAAGAGAAGGCGCCCCTGAAGGTCGGTGACCCTGCAATGATTTGGCTTTCTTCGGTAAATTTTCCATAATTTTCTCAGCGGTTGAGCAAGACTGAACAGTTCAACACATTGCTGGATCGTGAAGTAGGTGCACAGCCTTGACATCCTCTAATTCCCACACAACAAGCGCCCCTTCTGTCAGTTAGTACGAGAGGCCAGAATGCGTGCGTTCGGGATAACTCAACACATTGCAACTCGGGTTTCATGGACGGACGGTTAATGAATGGGGAATCGTCATCAATGACGTTATCTCTCTGTGCAGACTGGAATACCAGGCCTGTCCACTGACATCGATCAATTTGGCGACTCCGAAGTGTGATAGAAACGAGCCAGTCAGATGTTGGGGTGAGAGAGCGACCAGGCTTGTCAGGAGCAGGAAGTAGGAGACAATCATCGACAGACCTGGGGCGATCTTGCTCCTAATCACCACACCGTCCACAACCACTATTACTCTTCAACCACCGGCCCGGGAGTCTTCAAGCTTCATATGAAAGGTCCCTCGCAAGGACTCTCCAATAACAAAGGCTTGGAAGTACCACGAACAGCATGCAAGCTTTCCATACTCGGATGAAGCTTCGTGCCAGACGCGCGTTGGAGTGTCTGCAATAGACTCGCAAAGTGTTCGTGACACCAGCAAGAGTATCTTATGTGAAATAACTGCAACCGGAGTAGGGAAGGCAGCGTGAAGGAGAATGTTAAGAGATGGTCATATATAAACCCTCTGCACCACAAGCCACTCCGGATGTCGGCACAGAGAATGCGATGAATTCCAGAGGAATCGGAACTTTTGAGCAGACTGATCCATCCGAACGGCTTCCAGGTCCAAGCGCACAAGACAACACAGAGCCAACATTCGGAGAATAGTATTTGAAACAGACTAAAACAGCTAGAAACCACTTCGGTGCACATTTGCCTGTGCACCGGTCCCATGGCTGGACTGTAAGTTTGCATGGACGGACTATTGATACCAAGGACATCCCCCGAGTATTAACATTTGAGTCATTCTCACCCACCAAGGGGACAGAGCCCTGGCGCCAGGTCAATGATTCCGATCATTAGCATCGAGCTTAAAGGACACCTTGATGCGACATTTGATGTGTAGAGCTGCCAGATTCTGAGAAGATGGCCTCCGAGACTCACCGAATCGGCAGTCTTTTTTCCTTCGATAACTTCGAACCCGGTTGCCAGGGTGTGGGTGAACCTAGATAGCGCGTGTAAGTGGGCAGGACTCGGGCCACACGCACGCACAGATGGATATGCTAGTGCTGATGTCTGAGATGGATCCCAACCGTTCTTCCAGCTAATTTTCGGGACGGTCCAGCTGGTTTGTGAGCCGCCTGGTGTTCATGAGTGACAATGTAGATTGAGCCCCTCGTATTGGAGACAGGACCGGAGCACGGCCTGCTATAGTGAGTAAAATAAAACCAAGAACATGGCAGACACAGGAATCTACGAGCTCCTTCAAATTAGGGTCGACATCCGGAACAAAAGCACACAAAGGGGCTAGACCCATGTATATTTGCAGAGGTTGAAACAGCGTTAGCTGAGCAACTGCTGCCATTGCGCAAGACCCGGGCTGTTGTCTTCTTCACAAGATGGTCAGTTGTAGGAAACACTTGATAGCTTCAAACTCGTGGCAATGGAGAAAGGCAATTGCCTAGCCACAGTAACACCATCACGCCGCAATATCATACAGATACGTTCAAACAGCAATATTTCATGAGCAAAATGTTCCATAACGCGCCTTTTGAAGTGACCGGCCCCCCACTTGCGAGCATGATGAGCATCTCCAAATGGAGTATCCTACGATCAGCTGGTTAGGAGTATGCAGGGATACGTAGGGTGGGCGTGAAGCCTGGAGCTGGGAGTCCGACGCTAATATATTTCCCAGGCTACTCCGGTTCCGAAAAGGGCATTGACCTTCCGTGAGCGCGATATCGTGAAATACCATACTTGCACGCGCAGGCGTTGACCCAACACGAATCATTGAGAATATCAATTTGAAGTGACGAAGTACGAGTCAGAGCCATACACAGACTTGATCGGCTAAAATTGGCACCCGCCAACGTGAAGTGCTCCACGGCTGAAGGGACGCCACCATTAACGGCGCTTGCCGAGCCGACAGAACCGCGGATGAACGTTTCCGCGGTGGGATAGTATGTATTTTGTTGGTGGTCTTTTGGGGTATTGTCATTGGAGGTACTCAGGGACCAGCTTAGCATCGCTCCCTTGATCGACCATGGATTGCATTTCGCATTGAACCCGTCAAATCTCATATATTCGAAGTGAGGCTGTCACGACTATTCCCCAATGTTCACTCAATTGACGGAGCTCCTTCGATGAGAATGCTTAAAGAAGATGTATGGCGGCTTGATGCGCTTAGTCATCCGTCCCTACCGCACCTAGACAAGCCATCATGTCTGCAACAGCGTATGAGCATACTTCCAAGGTCGAAGTGGTCATCGAACGACGTAATGCCCATCTCCTTACTCGTGATGAAGAAACACTTGCAAAGCTTGGATATAAGCAAGAGTTCAAGCGTGCCTTCACCATGTTTGAGACATTCGGGCTCGTTTTTTCCATCATTGGGCTATTTCCAAGTATCGCCTCTGTCTTGGTCTATGCCATTCCAAATGGTGGTGCGGTGTCGATGGTGTGGGGGTGGCTCGTCGCTTCGCTGTTCCTGATGACAATTGCGCTGGCTATGGCTGAGCTGGCAAGCGCAGCTCCCACCTCTGGCGGTGTGAGTTTTTGCTCCTAACGCGTGGACCATGATACTAGTAGCACTGGATTTTCCAACAATTGCTTACCTGGGGATTCACTACAGCTTTATTTCTGGGCTCATCACTACGCCTCTCCTAAATGGAGAAACTTGTTTGCTTGGATTGTCGGCTGTACGTGTCTTATCTTTCCCCCAACACAAGGGTTCCTCGTTCGCTGACAATAGTTGTTCCCGAACAGATGCTAATACAGTTGGTACCATAGCCAGCGTGGCGTCAATTGACTGGGGTTGTGCCGTCCAAATTATGGCGGCTGCGACAATCGGTTCGCCCCACTTATCTTTCTCGCCTACGACAAGTCAGACCTTGTGGGTGATCCGTATTTCGTATTTCTGAGCTAGTGACGCTTAGTTTCCCCAGTGCTGTGTATCTTGCTATCGCTCTGTCTCACGTTGTTGTCTGCTGGTCGGTTTCAATTTCTCTTATCCTTATCGTCCATCGTTGCAACATTTTTCCGAAAGTCTTGGAACAGCGGTGCTAGCTCGCCTACAGAATATTTATACATTTCTCAATATTGCGTAGGTCTTCTCAGTTGGTCAGCCCGACAATGTCAACTTATCCTTCATCATCGACAGTCTCTGTTTGGCAATCACCATTGTCATTCCTGCCGTGACTCCAAAGGAATATCACAATACCGCGTCGTACGCCCTAGGCAACTTCACGAATCGTACGTAATTGGTTCTGCGCCTGTGCCATAATCGGAACCATGTCACTTATTAGTTCTCTGTATATCCCAGTGAACGGCTGGCCAAATGACTTTGCTTTCTTCCTTTCATGGATGTCACCTGTTTGGACGATCTGTATGTGCTACTTTAGAAGCCCCAACGCTCCGTAGTACGATAAATCACTTGCAGGCTCGTTCGATTCCAGTGTGCACATTAGCGAAGAAGCGTTAAGTCGAGAGAACTCTGCACTCTAACTCGCACCCACATGTTTTGATCCGTAGAACAAACGCAGCAACCGCCGTACCTTGGAGTATCGTCCTCGCCACCGGCGTTGGTGGCATCCTCGGCGCTGCAATCCTCATCGTCCTCAGTTTCTTCATGGGTACGGACATGGAATCCATTGTGAACAATCCAATAGGCCAACCAATGGCGACCATTTTATTTAACTCGCTGGGGAGGAAGGCTACGCTTTCCCTCTGGGCGATTGTGGTCATTGTACAGTATATGATGGGAAGCAGTATGGTAAGCATTAGCATGATCGGAAAGTGAACCTTTTCTCATTTGAAGGGTAAATGTCCAGCTTTTGGCTTCTTCGCGTCAGACTTTTGCGTTCTCTCGAGACGGTGCTCTCCCCTTCTCCAGGTATCTCTACCGGATGAACTCATTCACCGGGACACCAGTAAACAGTGGGATCTCCGTCCCTGATTGAACCATCGATTCTGTGATCTGATTCATCTCCTTCTAGCTGTTTGGTTCTCGGGCATTGGAGCGGCTCTCCTGGGGTTACTTTCGTTTGCGGGTCCTGCCGCCATCAGCGCCATTTTTTCCATCTCTGTGATGGGGCTCTATATCGCGGTGAGTTGTTATCGCTTTTTTGAGACAATGCGACCGACTGTTCGACTAACTACTCACCGTTCAACCATCTCATCAGTACTCGGTTCCGATTATGTGCCGATTCGCTTTCCGCGGTTCGGCGAACAGGTTCGAGCCGGGTCCATTTTACTTGGGCAGATGGGTTAGTTTATTCAGTCCAATTCCCTGCTTGCCCATTATCCTTTACGGCTTTCGTCATCAGGGCCTCCCGATAGCCATTGTCGCTGTACACTTCATGGCGTTCATCAATGTCATCTTCCTTTTCCCAAGCACGCCTCACCCAGGTGCCAATGACATGAACTACTGTAAGTTTATACTCCCCTTTCCGCCCCTCCGTGGTCCTAATATGAAACACGATAACAAAAATAGCCATTGTCGTGATGGGAAGTGTTCTGATCTTTTCCCTCACATGGTACTACTTCCCAGTGTACGGTGGCGTGAACTGGTTTCGAGGACCAATACCCACCATAAACCCCCAATACATCGGCAGTGAAGAGGGAAATTCGGACACCAGGCAATCTGATGTTGCCTTAGAGAAGAAAGTCGACACATGAGTGCGAGTACACAATGAATCCGTCTAGAAGCGAATCTTTGGGTTGCTATCCTACTTGGAGCTCAAGCTGCTTAGTTCTTTGCGGTCATGTCGTTTTCCCAGGAAGTTCAACTCGACATTTAGGCCACATCCCTCCGTCCGCTGCATCCGTAGTGCTTTCCCTTTTACCCATCTCGCTACTCCGAGATTCCTCCTTTCCAAGTTGCTAAACCATATCGAGGCTTTCACCGTCTATTTGGATTTGACTGCCCCAAGAATTACTGACCCCCAACCAAGATGAGTGACACTTCAGGGTAGCTTTCGAAGTTGCTTCCAACGAATGCTCAGCCTGATAGCCTCTTTGAGAGAACCCTGGGAAACCCTGTTATTGGGTGCTTGGCACCTAAATGACCATTCTCCCTATATCGAATATCTCATAGCCATGTATACTTACATGAGGATGAAACGGAGTCCCCCGTAAAGATTCTCCAACCAGTGAGGGCGAGTCGGAAGTGCAACGAACAACACGCTTCCCCTACTGGCCGCAGCTCTGTGGCACGCGCGTTGGAGTGTCATGCGGTCGATAGGCTCGCAAGGGGTGTTGGTGGCACCATAAAGAGTACTTATCTTATGCTAGAAGTAGGCAAAGGTGCCACGAAGGGCAATGTGAAGGGGGCTAATATGTGTGCCTCTTCCCCTTTCATGTCTACAATCCACTCCGGATTTCAGCACGGAGAATGCGATGAATGCTACCGGCTTTGATGAGGCTTTGTGCAGCTTCCATCCGGGTGACTTCCAGTTATCAGGAACGCCAGTTTTGAACGCTCGACATCATGAAAAGCCCACGGATCCAAGTATACAAGATGACACCGAGCTAACATTCGGAAGACAATATTTGAAACACATTGAACCAATTAAAAACCACTCCAGTGCAGCCAACTCGTACATTTGCGTGTACACCGGTCCCATGGCTGAACGGTAGGGCTGGACGGTGGGCCATTGAGACCAGGTCCCTCCAAGACAGATGTCCCCGATAGTGACTCGGTGACGACAAGGACGTCCCGAGTATTAACGTAGACTTCGTACTCGCCCACCAAGGGAACAGAGCCCTGGCGCCAAGCACCAACAGTTCGGGACTGATTCCAATCATTGGCATCGAGCTTGAAATGAGCCTTGATGCGGTATCTGATGCGCTTGCGATAGAGATAAGCGGATGAATATGCATTGACTTGAACTGGGATGTCATGAGTTGTTGGGGATCTGTTGTTCAATGTCGTGTCGATGGTTGAATGTCCCGTAGAGATGCCTGTTTCTGAGAAGATGGTCCCGAGGCTCACCGAATCGGCAGTCTTCTTTCCTTCGATGACTTCGAACCCAGTTGCCAGGGTGTGTGTGAACCTAGATAGCACAGGTAAGTGGACAGAACTGCGTCACACGGGACATAGGTACTGACGACTGAAGTGAGTCCTGATCGTTCTTCCAGCTTTGAACAAGTACCCATTCATGCGAAATGGCATAAACATCGGCGACTCGATACAGGGTTTCGGGAGGATCTCGCTGGTTGTAAATCTGGTGTTCATGAGTGCCAATGTAGATTGGGGCACTCGCATTGGAAATGCGACAGGGGCGCGCCCTATTGGCCAAAGGACTCAAAGTGAGATTTGGCCAAGAACATACTGATCGCAGGGATTTACGTGCTGCCTTTAAGCTCCGCGTGCGCTCGACATACGGAGCAAAAGCATACAAAGGGACGAGGATCTACTAAAGCCATGGGGATTCCTGCAGTGGTCAAAACAGTACTGTCAGTTGAGGCATCGCTAGCATCACAAAGGCCCGAATTGTTGGCTTCCTCACAAGGTGATTGATTGGCGGGGAACTTGAGTCCCGGCTGAGGAAACACTTGATAGCTTAAACTTGCCGCGAGTGTGACAGGCACCATCGCACCGCAACGTCATGTGGCCTTATCAGCTGGATAATCAGAATGGCAATATTATTGATAGCGCTCTGTTGTTGTGAGACAACTTAGGCGCTCAGCGGCAACACTCGAGTGATAACGAGAGACAAAGGTAAGGCTGTATTATCATTCCATTAGTATCATTGTGACGTTTTATAGTACAGCGAGGCTATCGGGGTGAACGATTGGTGAACGACGTACAGACGCGTCGGAGAGGTCCCATGTGGGATGCTACGCATCTGCACTGACATGTTGCCAAAGCGGCATCATGACTTGCAATCCCACACGCTCATTCCAAGTCCAAAGAGTGGGTCCCAGATGTCCTACTGGCGGGCATGAAGAGCATCTTCGAGTGTCCTGTGGGCAGGGCTGGGATCCTACCTAATCAGCGACGCGTTGGGGGGTTTCAATACCACTTAGTGGCTTGGAAACAGCGAGAGAATCCCGAGTATTACGTACACGCCGAGTAAAGGAGTGGAGCCAAGTACCTACGGTTCGGAATCCGCGCCAATCGTTGGTAGAGAGCTAAAAAATGTACATCCACGCATGCGGTATTTGACGTGCTTGCGATAGACATAGGCGGATGCCCATTTGGACTGGGATGTTTTTGGAGACAGTGCGTTATCTGGTCTGGCGTTGATCGTAGAATGCCCCGTAGTGATGCCAGTATCTGAGAAGATTCTCTCGAGGCTTATTCCCAATATTTAGGGTGTGTAGTGGACCTAGACAGTACCGTGAGTCGGGGCCCCAAGTCATGCACGCGCGTAGGGCGAACTGACGTCTGGGATGATTCTGTGACGTTCTGCAAACTCTGCCGGTATCTCTAGGTGCCGACGCGAACTGGCGCCTTCTTTTTTCACATTGAACAGAGTGAGACAGTGAAGCCAAGTGCACATCAATCTCAGGGATTTGCTCCGAGTGCTTCAAGTCTCGCAAGTGCATAGTCTCGACATTTGGAACAAAAGCACATGAAAAGAAAAGGTTTCTACGGAAGTCGAAATGGCATTAATTGAGCAAAATGCTATATACGCACAAGATCTCTTACGCTGGGATGTCGACTTCTCCGGTGAAGGCGGGTTAGGGGCTCAACTGCGGCTGAGCAAACACTTGATAACTTTGAACTCCTTCACTACGGGCAGCACGGAGTACTAGTTTGGTACTAGTATGTGTCTTATTAGCCACATGTGAATAGAAAAGATGAGCGGGAAGGTTCAGTGAGTTGCTTGCCCAGGGCAAGACAAAAAACAAAGGGACCACAAGAGCAAGTGGGGTATCCTCCAGGTCATCCTTCCTCCCGGTCAGATCTAGGGTCCGGAGTATATTACACTCCACCAGCGACTCCTTACCCACACATCTGGTTGACCGCGCGCACTGAGAGGAAGTTGCTCCATGTTTGGGCTTGTGCCAACGTACCCGCGTAAAGTGATCATCGGGACTAGTATTACACGCTCGACAAAATGAAATCCAGACAGGATAATGCGAATCCATCAACCAGAATACAACGACCGACAGTCACGCATGAACAGTTTTGCTGGGTTAGAAATTATTGGAGTGAAGCCACCCTGTACATTTGCCTGTACATCGGTCCCATGGCTGAACGGAAGGCCTGGCTGGTGGGCCACCGACGCGAGGGTCGTCCAGGAAGGATGCCCCACTTAGTGGCTTGGAAACGATAACACAATCTCGAGTATTGACATATATCTCGTACACGCCGAGTAACGGAGTGGGACCCTGGCGCCAAGCGCCTACAGTTCGGAATTCGCGCCAATCATTGGCATCGAGCTGGAAGTGCACATCTACTCGGTATTTAATGCGCTTACGATAGAGGAAAGCGGACGTATTTGCACCGATTTGAACCGGGATGTCTTCTGATGCTGCGTTATCTGGAGCGGTGTTGATCGTAGAATGCCCCGTAGTGATGCCTGGATCTGAGAAGATTTTCTCGAGACTCATCGAGTCGACAGTTTTATTCCCCTTGATAACATCAACACCGGTCCTCAGGGTGTGTGTGAACCTAGATAGTAGACGTAAGCGAGCACCCAAGCGCCGCACATAGGATATACTGACGTCTGAGGCATATCTGTGATGTTCTGCAAGCTTTGAAGAAGTATCCATTCATGCGAAAGGGCATAGACGTCAGCGACGCGATACATGCTTTCGGGGGCATCCCGCTGATTGTAGATCTGGTGCCTATGGGTGCCGATGTAGACTGGCGCCCTCGCGCTGTAAATGAGACTAGGGATCGTCCTGTTCAACAAAGCTCTCCGTGTCAGATTCAGCCAAGAACACAGTGATCACAGGACTTTACTCAATGTTGACTTCCATGTCTTGACGTTGGAAAACCATTCAGTTCGACCCAGCGGAACCGAAGAGATCCTTACCCATAGGATCCTGCAGGATAGCATTAGTTGGGTAGGCCGATGCACAAGGGGCCCCCTTACAGTCTGCCTTTCTTTCATAAGATGGACAGTCGGCGAAGAATCTGAGCTGCTGCCAAGAGGAGACTTGAAGGGTTCAAATTCGCCGTAGTACTGTGAAGGGGGTCTGTTCCACCCCATTGAGCCGCCGCACAGTGGTGTCACGTGCCTTGTGCTTCTGGCTGCGACGCAGAAGTACTACGATACTGCTACTGATGCGCAACAAGGCCGCAATTGCATATCGTCTTAGCCACGTGCAGACGTAAAAGTCATTCGAGCTTTTCTGCTTCAATAAAGAAATACCTTTACCACTCAGGGGAAGATGTGGATGTGAGGTCTGTGCGTACGCACGCGACGGACGAAGCGTGTGCAGGTTAGAGAGACCCCCTCAAAAGGAAATTCACCCTTGCAGACAGGCCTAGAGACGCGTATGACGCGCTCCAGGCCACCAGTCGACTTCCAAACCTTCTGGGACCATGACGTGAACCATTGTTGACGCCTGTTTGCACCGGCACCAATACTCATGACGAACCTTCTCCCACTTGTACTTGCGACAACACCCGAATGGCTCACAATTTTGGGGCTCATTTTCGGGGGATGCTGTAGGTAGGTACCTTTGAATTTTTGTGGTTTGGTCTTCGGGCTGATACCTAATCGTTCCATGTAGCAATGCGCTCACTCTGGAATACGCAACATCCCACAACCCGAGGTCAGGATCCCTCATCACCTTCGCTCAATTCGTCCTGGTTTCTCTCTTTGGCTTGAGAAAACGCTTTATTTTTATTGCGCAAAGTCACGATAAGAAAGGCGACTCTAACTCGCTGCCACGCGTCTCTCTCATTCAACGAATCAAGCGTGTACGGATCAAACCGCTAGCCGTGCCGCTACGTCGGTGGGCTATACAAGTCATTCTGTACCTGGGGATCTCGCTATTGAATAATTATGCTTTCAAGTATCGCATACCAATGGCAGTCCATATCATTTTCCGAAGTGGTGGACCCGTTGTGAACATGATCATTGGATACGTCCAAAGGAACAAGCGCTACCCTAGACTCCAAGTTGCAGCTGTCGTCCTTGTTTCTGCCGGCATAGCCGCGTGTACGGCACCGGGTGCTCAGGGCACGAAGCCAAGGGTCTCCACGACTTCATCATCTATTCATTCCGATACATACACCGCCGTCGGCGCCATTTCGTCTCACATAGAGTACAGTCTGGGAATAGGGATGCTGGCGCTTGCTCTTGTTCTCTCACAATATCTTGGGTTCTCCCAAGAAGAGACCAATAAACGCTATGGTCGTGGTCATTGGGAAGAAGGAATGTTTTTCCTTCATTTTCTCTCCCTTCCAATGTTCCTTTTCGTACGGGAAGATCTCATAGAGCAAATAAAATTTGCCAACGCAAGCGAGCCTGTCAGGATTTCCGAATCCCTGTATACATTATTTGCCATGCCGATGGATTTTGTTGGGTTCGCCATTGGCGTACAGGGTATTGTGTTGCCGTCATTCACATCTATTCCTTGGCCTCCGTGGCTTCCGACACTTCTTTTACCGCCACTCTCATCCCTAACAATACCCTATTTTTGGGTACCACTCATCCTGAACGTCCTTACTCATACCATATGTGTCTCGGGCGTGAACAGACTCACAGCACGGGCAGACTCATTGACAGTCACCCTCACACTTACCGTGCGGAAGGCTGCCTCACTGATCATCAGTGTTGTTCTGGTTGGAAGAAGCAGAGGGAATATATGGCTTTGGGGTGGATCTACGGCTGTGCTTCTGGGTTCTGTGCTTTATACGTATGGCGGCGACAATAGGCGGCCAAGGGAAGAATTGAAAGCAGAATAATGGTAGTTCGGGATTTGAGTCAACTCACCAGATGACGTCCTTGTTATGTAGGGATTTTCAAGCGTTATACGACTTCGAGCGGTAGCCACGTCTCAATATGTTAACTTGGACGTTGCTGTACATATAGAAGAATAACTATAGGCCATGACCGTTCGGAGAGAATTAATGGGGTTCGACACATCATAGTGAGGATCATGGGGGAAGGGAACACAAAATGATACCCGTGCCCTGGCATGGCCACTCTGCAGATGGAACCGGATCCCCGCTGCCAGAAGCTCAACCTAGCCGTACTGCGACAAGCCAGCTTGAATCGTATTTGAGTTCTGGCTTCGGTTGGGGCTCTGCGCTGCTCAGGCTGCCAGGGTTTGGAGTTGGTCGCAAGCCACGACGAACAACGTTTCCGCGAGTTCGAGCTACTCAAGTTCAGATCTGAAGGTACAGAAAACTATTTAAGTCATATTATGAATGTATGTAAGCAAATGGGTGCCCCCGCGACTAGCCAGCGATGTGACGACAGATACAATGACTAAAGTATTCAGTTAAGAGGTTGGTCGTTTACTGGTCGGAGAAGTCGAAGGCGTCGTTCAAATACTTCTCAATCTCCTTCTTGTGCTGGGACTAAAGAAAACCCATTGCCGTAGGTGAGCAAAGAAGATGGGGGGCTATTTCAAACGAACCTTGCTGCCCGTGGCGACGGAACTAGTTGGATCACGTCCCGCGTAGCGTGGGAACTTGCCCTGGTGATATTCAGTCTTCGTTGTCGCGGTCTGTATGCGAGGGGCAACGTAAGACCATGCGCCAGCGTTCAATGGTTCTTCCTGAGAGTTCAAACATAAGGATAAACAAAGGATGCCTGGCGGAAGGGACTCACCTGACACCAAAGGATATCCGCATTGGGATACCTGTCGAGGTGAGGAGTCAACTAACAAGGACAGCAATTCAGTTCGACTGAAGTGAGTCTAAGGAAAGAGGCCCACGAGGTCGTAAGGGAAGGGCGAGATTTGTTCAAGACGACTGATAGCAACGTCCTTGATACCGCGATCCTGACGTCCCTTCAACAAAGCATAGTAAGTTTGGCCTGACACGGGGGGGCAATGCATCAGCATCATTTGTCCCTAGTCTGCAACTGTGGCGCTTACCAGTGCAGAGGATATGACGCCTGATCTCCTCAGGGGGTACGAGCTGATCTTCGTATGGCTCGGGCAAGTAGCGCTGGAAGATGGTATCTCCCATCATTTCCTCAAGATCCGATTTGGCGATAGGGTGGCGAAGGAGTTGCTTTGAGAAGAACAAAATAAGCTGAGCCAAATGATCTTAGCAGCTGTATATCGCTCAAGAAAATGAGGAAACCATACTGGCTTGCGGAAGTCACGGTGGTTCTGACGACGAAGCACGTGGAACTGGAGGAGGCAAAGTCAGCTCGGCGTTGACGTGCGGCTACAAACAGTCATCTTACATAGTTAGCCGGAGTACTAGTGGAGAGGAATCAGCTTCGGTCTGGCTCCGGAGCTACTCAACACTCACCTAGGATAAACGATCTGCATATTGCAATCTTGATGTTGCCTCTCAAGCTTCTCCGGTGGTGGGTAGATATGGGGGTGATCGTCTACAAGTTGCAAGAACCTCTCGATCCTTGCACTTGAATGTTCTGGGCCTTGGCCGTCAAACCCATGAGGCAAATTCATCACAAGTCCAGTACGTTGCAACCATTTCTTCTCCCCAGAAGCAATGAACTGATCAATGATACATTGAGCGTTGTTCGCAAAGTCGCCGAACTGAGCCTCCCATATGGTGAGTGAGTTGGGTGAGACGAGAGAATAGCCGAGTTCAAATCCGAGACAGCCGTATTCTGAGAGTGACGAGTTGCAGACACTGAACTTGGCCTGACCACCGCCGAGGTTGTTGAGTGGAATGTACTGAACTTCGTTCTCCTGGTCATGAATGATAGCATGTCTCTGCGAGAAGGTGCCACGCTCAACGTCCTGGCCCGAGAGACGGACATCACACTTCTCAAGTACCAACGATCCGATTGCCAATGCCTCAGCAGTGGCCCAATCAATGCCTTTCCCTTCGCTCACTGTCTTTCCGCGGTTGCTTAAAACACGAGCAAGATTACGATGAGGTGTGAAGCCTCTGGGATAGCTGGAAATAGCATCGCCAATATGCCGCAACGTCTCGGCAGCGACACCTGTGGGTTTGTGGGGTAGGATGTTTTCCGCCAGCTCAACAGGGCTTGGGAAGTTCGGCCAAGCAGAAGACAACCACTCCTTCGGACTCGGCTGGTAATCCTTTGCGGCAGCACTGGCTTTTTCAAGCATACCCCAAACCCACTTCTTGTGGGCAGCGATCTCCTCCTCGGTGAAAACTTTAGTATCGATGAGTTTTTTCATGTACTTATTGAGGGGGGTGACCTGCTTCTCAATAGCTCTGTACATTCTTGGCTGCGTGAACATCGGCTGATCGGTCTCATTGTGGCCATAGCGACGATAGCAGACGATGTCAATGACTACGTTCTTCTTGAACTTGGCGCGATAATCCGCGGCGAGTTGGCAGACAAAGGTAAGAGCTTCGACATCGTCCCCATTCACGTGAAAAATGGGTGCGTCGATCGCTTTTGCGAGATCGCTAGGATAAGGCGTCGAACGAGAGAAACGAGGATCAGTCGTGAAACCAATCTGATTGTTCACGATGAGGTGGATTGCACCGCCAGTGCCGTAAGCAGGGAGATTGTGCATGCCCATCGTCTCATATACGACGCCTTGACCCGCAAAAGCTGCGTCACCGTGAAGCAGAACGCCCATAGCAACATTATGTTGCTTCTCGTCGCTCTCGAAGTGCTGGACGGCTCGAGTTTTTCCAAGAACGACAGGATACTCGGCTTCAAGGTGAGAAGGATTGGCAACAAGTGAGAGGGCTACCTTCTTTCCAGACGGTGTAGGGCGTACATAATTCGCTCCAAGATCTGTGGAATAATCAAAATCCTTTCCCACAATAGAAAACTCGATCTGGGACTCACGATATTTGACATCGCCACCCGCATCCTCCTCCGCGCCCGTGAATTCGTTCAAAATAGCCTCGATGGGTTTCCGAATAACGTTTGCCAACACGTTTAGACGCCCACGATGCGGCATACCAATAACGATGCTCTTGATTCCATGCTCGACACTCCGGTCGATGAGTGCCTTCATGCCAGGAATAAGGACTTCACAACCCTCCAAACCAAATCGTTTTTCGGTGGGGAATTTGCTTGCGATGAACTGTTCGAAAAGTTCAGACCACATGAGCCTGTCAAGTATCATACGGGTCTCGTCCACGGTATAATTCCATGGTCGAGGAATCTCAACGCGCTCTCGTATCCAGTCGCACTGGTCTTTGTCAGGAATGTGGATGTACTGAACACCTATGTGGCCGCCTAGATAGGGATCGAAGGCTTAAGCGAAACATCCATGGCTTGGGGCTGAAAACATACAATATATTCGCTTGCACTGATCAATAATTTCGCGCAACGTCATGGACGAACGGCCGTCTGTAGCGAAATGAGGCAGGATACCAGGACCAAGATTGAATGATTTGTCAAGATCACGCTCGGTCCAACCATAATGGCTTAATTCCAACTCTTGGGGCCGAATATTTTGCAAGTCTGCATCGAGTACACCGAGGGGATCTAACTCTGCGACATGGTGCCCACGAACTTGGTACGCCCTAACCAAAAGTTGAACCTAGAAGATTAAATCCGCGCATCAATGACGTTTGCGCCGACTCTTTCCGAGAATAGAAAAATGCAGCAAATGTAGCGCTTCGGGGGCTCACCTTGAGATGGTCTGTTAGCTGTTGTGCACCGCCCTGGATATGCAGTGTAGGTGCTCCCCCAGTCTCAAGAGGGACATCAAGCAAACTGGGTGGTGGGGTAAATGCCTGAGGGCTGGGCAAACCGTTCTCTAGACCTGAGAAATATACGTCCCAGGAGGCATGCACACTCGATGGATCCTGTCTCCACCTCCTGTACATCTCTTCTGCGTAATAGGCGTTATTCCCGGTTGCGAACACATCGTTCGGAGAAGGCGATGGAGCTGCTGTGGCGTAGGACGAGTGCGATGGGAAGAAAAGTGTTGAGGCGGTTGCTCTAGTAGGAGTTCCAGCAGCGCATTTCCGTGCGGCTTTGATTAGGTACGGAGCTAGTTGCTTCCCGAGCATGTTGAGTAACCGCCAAAGTCCAACGCAAAAAGGAGCCCAGACAAAGGTCTGGGAGCGAAGATTGCCACGGTTTGATTATGTAAGAAATCTCTTCCGGCATTTTAACGAAAGCAGCACAGTTTTAGCCGTGCCAGTCGACCATCATAATAAAGGGTTAGCCCAGGGTAGAATGTTGGCTAGGAACTCTGTGGCCAGGAACGTGTTCAAAGCGACGCGATCGGCTGGCTCGCGGGTCATCTTGCGGTCTCGCATCACCACGTCTGTAACAGGGGCTGACCCTCCGGATTCTCAAGGAATACCCCCTCCCCTTAGGGGTACCAGAATCGTTGACCTCACTCGTGTGTTAGCCGGTCCGACTGCAACAATGCTACTTGCCGATCTCGGGTGAGGTTTATTATCGATGTTATGTGGATAATAATTTATTGTTAAACTTCTCTTACAATGCTCTGTCGCACTGATGTCTTGACGGACTCAAGGGCCGACGTTATCAAAATAGAAGAGGTCAAGTGTGGGGATGACACTCGTGAGTGGTCTCCGGTTATCCACGCTCGATTTATTGGGTTAAACGTGATTAGGGTCGTGGTTCCCGCCTTCAGCTGCTCTTCTGCCTGCAGAATCCCAACCCCCGAATACATCTCATCTTCCACCTGAATCGACCTATTTCCTCTCCGTGAATCGAAATAAGCGCTCCTGCACTATTAACTTTAAGCATCCCGATGGCCTTTCGGTTCTTTACGACCTCATAAAAACCGCGGATGTTTTGGTGGAAAATTTCATCCCAGGTAAGCTGGCTGAGATTGGGTTGGGATGGGAGGATTGCAAACGAATTAATGACAGGTTGATCTATGCCTCTATTTCCGGTAAGTACTGGTCGTTCTTGCTTTCCATTGTCCGAAGTGGTGTAATCAATCCCAGGCTATGGACAGACCGGACCCTACGCTAAGAACGCAGGATACGACGTCGTCATAGAAGCGGAGGCTGGCCTCATGCACATGTGCGTTACTTCGATCTCCCAGAATGTGGGTTATCCCAGGTGTGGAACTGAACGAAGGTGGCCACTGCGACAGAACAGGTGAACCGGATGGTATGCCCAACAAAGTGGGCGTGGCAGTCACCGACATCTCCACAGGCCTGTTTGCCCATGGCGCCATACTTGCTGCATTACTCTCCCGCCAGCAAACCGGGAAAGGTGTCTGGATAGATTGCAATCTGTTCGAGACGCAGATATCAGGTTTAGCCAATGTAGCCTCTGCTTACCTCATAGCGAGCAAAGAAGGCGGCCGGCACGGCACGTCCCACCCCTCCATCGTTCCGTACCAGGTGTTCCCATGCAAGGATGGCTATCTCATGATTGGCGCAGGAAATGACCGACAAGTAGGTGCTGCATATCATCAATTCTTTCCAACCATCGCCCATAGTGCTGAAAGGGCACGTTAGTTCACCAAGCTTGCGGAGAATGTGCTGAATCTCCACGAGCTCACGACTGATCCACGCTTTGCTTCTAACTCCTCACGCGTGGCTCACCGGGAAGAACTTGTTAAAATCATCACAGACGCATTCATGAAACATAACACAGACCATTGGCTGAGAGCATTTCAGGGTCAAGGGTATGTCCATTTTCCCGCCTTACATATGCTACACGCTGCGTTCTTTTGATGAAATTGACGATTGGGTCTGTGCATTTTCTAGAATACCGTTTGGCCCGATCAACAACATCAGCCAAACATTTTCCCACCCCCAAGCCATCGCTCGGAGGGTCACGGTCGAGGTTGACGTGAGTTTCTATGCTAGTTGTGAACCTTGTGCGTATTCTTGCTGACAAGTTCTGAGCAGCATCCGAGAGCAGGAAAACTGAAGCTTACCGCGCCACCTGTTTCGTATAACGGAAAAAAAATGCCTGTTAGAACACCTCCACCGTATCTGTCGGAACATACAGAAGAGGTACGGCATGCCGTTTCTGCGTTGATGCGATGGATATACTGACCGTCCTAACAGGTGCTCACAAGAGATCTGGGGTACTCGAAGGAAAGGTTCAATGAGTTACGAAGGCTTGGAGTTGTGTAGTTATCGTACTGAACATGGCATGAGTTCCTGGGTTGAAGCAGCCTCCAATGAAGGATGTCAGAGCGAACTATGAAAACAGCGCCAGCGAACACTCGTCGTCAGCATGCTTTGATTAATATTTCAAACATGGTTCATTCCAGTCTGAGTCGGGGCCCCACTCGATCACAACCAAAGCACGTACAAGTGAAGTACTTTGGATACGGATATTGTTTATAACTTATACTGTGGAATTTGATCAATTTTCCCGGTGGACTGATTCATTTTGACTTCTCGATTGCGGCAGGCAAGGTCTGCGTTGCCTTGCCCAACCTTCGAGAGATCATGCACAGTAATGACCCTCAAACTCGACCGAACCCTCTCTGTGATTTTGGTCGAAGGTCAAAGACTCGATTTTGATGCTGAATCGCATGCTTGTATGGTTTATCGAGCTTGCTGACACCGCCAATTGAGTTGACGTGATCAACGTATTGGGTGAGGTCTTGCAAGTCTCCGCCATGAAGCGGAGGTGGTCTGAAAGAAGATGTAAACATCACCGGCAAGTGATCAGACACCGATAACACACCTTTGCGTCCGTCTGATGGATCGGACGAAGTTCTGGACGTAATATCAATGTTGTGACGCACGGGCAGGAGCTCACTTCCCCGCATCACAACAGAATTAGAGCCACGGCAACCCTAACGGAGCCTGTTCGAGTGGCTCCTCGTTCTGACACTTCTCGTACCCTGGAATTCTCTTCGTCGCTTCATCTACCACCTCCGCCTACCTCCTTAGCTCCTACGCCAAAGGCGCTGCATGCCCGGACAGCGATGTCGACATCGCGTCCTGGCCTCTGCTGTTACAAGCTCACAGACCTCGGTAGTGTCCATATGTGCCTCAAGAGCGCGCTCAATAGGAAGGCCGAGGCGTACTGGATGCCAATTGACCTTCGACGTGAGACTGCCAATGAACCTATCAATTCCGCGGCATAGCTATAGTTGATGTGCCATGACTACTCCAGCAGCTTACCCTCCTCAATGTGCAACAAGACAAGGGGGATCACAAGGCTGGTAGCTGCCTAGATCGCAATAGGAATCGGGAAATCTTCATCGGCACCGTGCACAGCCACAGGACGCGACTAAGCAAATAGTGCCAAACATTGTTCAACTCTCTGTCCTACACGCGACTGTTGTTTTCCAAGCGCAAGCATAATGGCGAGCGTGAACCATGTTACCCAAAAAATGTCTGAGATGGACATTGGTCAGGCCCCTACAAAACCCGGCTTTACTCGGGTATCCCGGACAGACTTGAACACTTTTGGGTCAAGCGTTAGAGTGGCTCCACGAGTTCCTGCCAAGGTGAAGCCGGCGACCAAGACAGTGAAGCCAATGGGCTCCTCAAGTTCCCTTACTACAAGCACTCATTTAAGTGGGAATCGACCCCCATTAGCGAAGCTGCAACAGCAGTCTTCCACAGCTTCGCTGCACAATGGCCCCACATCCACCAAAATGCCAGCGCCTTCCGCCTCATCTCAGTCAGATGTTGATATCGGTAGATATGATGGAGGTTTTGAAAGGGACAATGAACGAAGGGGGAGTACTGTGTCCGGTGAAGCTTCGGCGATGCTCAACCTAGACTCTTCAACAAGCCAGTAAGTTGCTTCGGCGTGTTAATCTCAACAATAGCATTGATTCCCCGCAGATCACATCCCACCCGCGTGTGGAGGCTAAATTCCTTCGAAATTGGTCGTCCGCTCGGGAAAGGCAAGTTCGGACGCGTCTACATGGTGCGAACGAAGGAGCCTCCGAAATTCATTCTCGCCCTGAAGTGTCTGTACAAATCCGAACTGGTAGATGGCCGCGTCGAGAAGCAGACACGTCGTGAGATCGAGATTCAGAGGAATCTACGGCATCCGAACGTCTTGCGTCTTTATGGGTTTTTCCATGATGAGAAGAGGATTTTCTTGATGTTGGAATTCGCGGCAAAGGGAGAACTATACAAGCAACTCGCGAAATTTGGGAGTTTCTCAGAAAAGCGGAGCAGTCGGGCACGTCCATTCCACCACAACTGACATTATCTGACTGATTGTTTGTTTTTAGTATATTGCTCAGATGACAGATGCGTTGCAATATCTGCATAGCAAGCATGTCATACACCGCGATATCAAACCTGAAAACCTTCTCCTCGGCCTTAATGGAGAGCTGAAGATAGGTGACTTCGGTTGGAGTGTTCACGCACCCGGTAATCGGTGCGTCCTCCTTTCATGGCTGCCTTGAGCAGTATTGACATTGCCCCTCAGTCGGACAACATTATGTGGTACTCTCGATTACCTACCTCCCGAAATGGTTGAAGGAAGACCTCACACTGAGAGAGTCGATTACTGGGCGCTTGGCGTCCTCACTTACGAGTTTCTTGTTGGCAATGCGCCCTTCGAGGCAGATGGTGCTTCAGGTATGCGAATCCCCTAGAACAACGTATCCAATTTTTTGAAAGATGCGGTACGATAGCTACATATCGACGGATTGCCACGGTCGACCTGAAGATGCCCAGTCGCATCTCACCGGACGCTTGCGACCTTATCCAACGTGTACGTCCCAACTCGCTGCCATATTTAAGTCCCGACATACTGATTTCCCGCCAGCTGCTGCGTAAAGAGCCCGAGGACCGACTTGCTCTCAGCGAAGTGGCCAAACACCCTTGGATCATGCGATACCGGCGCTCCAGCAGTTCATTGCAGGGATGAAGTCCTGTTATTCGCAAGTACCAAGCACAGAGGCTCTTCTTTCGCGTTATTAGCATCGCTTGCCTATTTATTTGCTTTCCCCCATTCGTTCCTGGACTCGAGATGGACAATATAAGCCCATTGCGACCCAATTCTCCTAGAGCCATTCCCCCACGCAACTATATGGATAGGTATGTTCCGACAGGCAAACACAGGGATAGGATAGCCTTTGGAATAACTAGGGATGTCCTGTGCTGGTTCTCGTAGGTCTTGTGCAATTTCGGGTGGACTAAAGATGCAAAGGGGAAAAACAACACATAAAGCTTAATTTCAACTGAGACGCAATACCATTAACAATGGGTTGATCCAACAAACTGTACGGACTTGTTTCGTGTTTGCGCACAGTGCTGGTAGAGCACCTCTGATATGCCCAAGGGCCACACCATCACAGCCCCCCACTTGAGCTGTTATTATGGCAGTTTGGAGATTGGCGAGACCGTTCGTTTGGGCGATCCAGGCACCTACATCTGAACCATGCATAAATATTCTCCAATGTACTCAGTGGGGAGCTAGGCACACACGGCAAATGGTGAAACCACCGGTGGTTGACCGTCCGAAATCCTTCGGGCTAGATTCCTAGGCCAGAGTCAAGCCGAAGCGCAATGCCCAGGAATCAAGCCTGTGGACGACTGAATCACTAGAAGCGGCTTTTTTTAATATCACATCAGTTTCGAAAGATGTTCGGAGCCAAGCCCAAGCAGGTCAGCGCAAGTAAGCTAAGAATTGTCCTAGGTCCGGGACGGCGCATTTCAACATTGGCTGGCACCTCCTACCATTGGCTCTACTTGTATAAGCAAGAACACCAAAGGCTCCATATTGAAAGGGTCTAGCTAGGCCAAAACGAAATGAAATCCTTTGGTCAATCCTACCGCTCTCCTTGGAACAGCGACTCCATGTGGTTAAAACACATGAAAAACTCGAGGCACTTTCTCTCCAGATTCCTTATGGCCAACTCCCAAAGGATAGATTCGGCTGGTCCCTCGCTATGTAACTCGTCGGGATCGGGCGAAAATAACTTGAGATCTGACGCAATTAAGAGTCTTCGTACGGAGGACTCTTCGCATAGGGAGTTCGGAATAGCTACTCACGGCGAAGAGCCTCTCAAATATCGAGGCCTAACACCAGCCGGAATTCTTTCTTGAATGGCAATTCCGGCAGACGACGCTGAATCCTGGGATGTACGCGGAGCGCATGGATTGTGGTCCAGAACCGGAGGTAGTGGCTGATGGCTGCTGCTAAGGAGATCGACTCCCTCAGAAGTAGCCTCTACAGATAGACCTCAGATAGAGCATCTGAGAAGGACGGGCACCGGAACTGACCGATGCACCGCCACCAGCACTGAAAAACGTATAAAACCGCTCGACAACAAATTTGTTGCCGACCTTAGCCCCTTGAGATCTCCAAGACAACTTCTTGCTTGTACATATCATCCTACACTATCAGACGCTGTATGTTTCAATACCTCCTGGGAGGGGAGTCCGCGCTGGCCATTCGAAAGGAGAGAGGAGCGTCAGCCTCGGGCGAACGCGCCAGATGAGTGTTTGACACCGATTTTTCTTTTCTCCTATTTTGTCGGCAACCATTGCACCTTTCTTTGAATCCTTCCTTGTCTGATTTCTGTTTGTTTGATTTCTTTTGGTTTCTTTTTTTTTTTTTCTCATGCATGGAAACGAGAACTCCCGGGATCCAGCTCTCATTCCCAAGCAGGGTCCCGACATTACACTCATGCAAGAATGATGTTTCCTTTCCCGATGCTAGAGCTTCGTTGCTCATTCTCCTGCGACGGTAGTGTAATTTTTTCGGGTACATCATAGTACTCAGCTTTTTTCATCCCAATCGATCAATCTCCTCCACGCTGTATCTCCATATTGTTTCCTCTTCAAGACTCATGGCACTAATATATATATATATCCCCAGTGCGCGTTTGACAATCATTGAACCGTCGAGAATCTCTATGCCTCTTGGATCGTTATTTTTTTTTTCGTGCTTGTCGTTTTCTTTTGTGAACCCTCGCTAACAGCACGGCATGCATTATTTGACAACTGCAGGGTTCTGCTCGACTGAAGCTTGGGCCCTATGGTTACCGTGCAAGAACAGATATTGTTCCCTCACGTCAAGCTCCGTTGCGCCTCTCGCATTGGTTGTTGAAATACCCCGGGAAACATTATTTACCTCTCCCATCTTTCCATCTTTCTCTGTGCCGTGTTTCCATACTGTTGCGCTTTCGGTGGTGAGATAGGATCAGTTACGTGCACATAAAATATATATGTATTGGAGTTTTGTCGGTCGTATGATGTTTGGTGCCGAACCTTCAGTTGGTTGATTCAGCTCCAGTAACTTTGTGAGCTGCTGACAATGTCAAGATGAGGTGAGAGTGTGTTGACGTTCAACTTGGTGGGCGCGATAGTCATGATGGATCCAGGCATGCCAGGGATCCTGCTTTCGTGCCCGCTTGTGTCGCCTGTACCGATGGCAAATCAGAAGTCGCATACCTGGAGAGCGCAAGCAGTCAAGTTGTTTCACTAACATGAGATACGTGGAATAGCTTAGCTAGATTGGGAGTGCATGACATACACATTTAAGCTCTTTCCCAATGTGAAACCTCAGCTTTTTCATGAGCGTGTTTGATCTACTCGTGCGCTGTCACATCGATTGAAGTGAGACTTCATTACTATCACCGCCAAATAGCCACAACAACCCCAATCTCATTACTTTTGTGAAACTAGGCTCAAGGCTTACCATATACCAGCCCAAGAGCGTATAGCCGTGGCAAGTGTATCATTCTCTCCGGTGAGGTGTCGATTGGACGCTTCATTCAAATCAGAGTTTATGTGCACAAACTCCACTCAAAGTCGCCGCTAGCACCGCGGTCCGGCGATCATGGCGTCATATGATGCAAGGATATCCGGGTGTCAGTCTGCCAAAGGAGCCATTGACGAGCACATGAGGAACATGTTTCACAAGCCGAGGAGGCAGTGATAACGATGAATGAGTCCGCAGATTCTTGCAGCAAATCCAGGGTGCCACGCCTACCTCAATGCAGAAACTGTACGAGATTGGAGGCGAGGTGCAAAGATGAAGCTGATCATGTCCCCGAACGAGCGACTCCGGATTCTTTACGGCCATCTCCCGGAGACTCGACTGATCCTTAGCGTATCTATCCCCAATCGTCGACGCGTCATGGAATCAAACTCAAACTGTCAAGCCGGAGCAATTTAAAGGCAATTCACAAAATCGGGCGAATCTGAAGGCATCGGATAGAAGATTATTAAGTAGCATGGGGAATCTGTGGCTCGTCACGGTGAACACTTAACAATCTCTCAATCTATCCTTTGGCCGATCTTCCTTGGCTAACAATCCGGTGACGGTGATGATTGATAATTGATGGGTGCTCCCAAGGGGAGAGACTGTCTCTTAGACAGGGCTGCGTACTAAGGGTCGCGGTTATCTCCAAAACATGCGGTTTTGGAGCCAGCAGCGGAACTTACCGTTGCACCGACGTAAAAAAGTATATAACTCAGGTTAGTCCGTGCTTCTTGTTCGACTTCTTGTTTACGCATATCATCGTCATCCTGCACTGTCCAATGCTTAGTGCTGTACCCTTCAATCCCCCCTCCCCTGGTCATTTGAAGGGGTTATGTAGTTTGAACGTTGAACGCGCCAGTGGCAGATGAGTGTGTAATAAGTTATCACTGGTCCTACCGTTGATCATTGTACTTTTTCTTCCAATCCTCTTCAATTTTCTTGCATTGTTTCTTTTCGTATCTTCACGCATGCGAAGACAGAAGGATCCCTGTTCCTCTCCCAACCGGGGGTCCGAAGACTCCCATGCAAGAGAACGATTCCTTTACTTAATTGAGCTCCGTTGCTACTTATTTCTCCCGCGACGGCAGCCCTTTTATTTTGGGTACATATCCTTTTGTCTTTGCAATCACTTTGCTCTACCATGCTGTTTTCCCAAATATGAATATGTATGCATACACCCGAGCCCAACCAGAATTCACGCGTACTAGGATTAACTTCATACCATCCTTCCTGAGTTTTTTTTTTCTCGGAACCACGGAGGTACGGACGCATCTGCGGGGGTCTTGTCCAATGAAGCTCAGGCCGTACGCTTCGTAGTGGCAGTAGAGTGATCCCGGTAAAACGACTTTCGTCTGTCGCGTCCTTTCCACGGTATTTTGTGCGCTGTTTACGGACAGGTAGTTCCAGTATCGCGAAAGCTACTGGGGTTCCGCCAAAAAAAAAATCTACTGCAGTACCTTGGTGGCATGTTCGGTGCCAAATCCTAAGCCAGTTTCCTGAGCTTTACATAGAACCCCGCGATCGTGCGAGCGGACGTTGTCAAAGTGAAGTGCGCAAGCGCAGCTGTCTTGGTTAAATTTGCCGTACGGCTTGCTGTCACTTGGACGGTGAATCCGAGTGCGTGCGTCGAACATTTTAACCTCGCCACGGAAAATCGGTGAGTCACTAGGGGAGTCTGGGATTGGTGCAGCTAGCACATAGTAGGCAGGACTTCAGCCTCTGTGACTCTGTAATAGATAGAAGCACATAGCGAAGTGATAATACATGCCGTTAACACTCGGAAAGTTTTCGTGTGGAATAATTAGTCACTACCGACCTAGGCTCCTATTCCTAGTGTGAAGCTTTAGCTTCTTCATGAGCTTGTTTTGTCCCACTCATAAAGGCTCGCACGCGCTGTTCAATCGATTGAAGTGAGAGTTTATTAATATCACTGGTCTGCCACGATTTCATCCCCAAGATATATTATGGAAGTTGATGGGAAGCGTAAATACTATCATTCGTCAGTAGCCTAGACTCCCTCGCGGTGGCGTGTTTGATTGGAACCTTCATTCAGGTGAGGATTTCTGTGTGCGTGGGTATCCACGGCTCCACTTGAAGCCGCCGCTAGAACCGCGGTGATTAGGATGCCTTACTCAATGGCGAGGATATCGGTGATCTGTTCCCAGGTGTCATTCCGCCGAGGTAGCCATAGAGACCCGGGCAGGACGATGCTCAGGCCTTATGATGCAACGCGGTTGATAGCCTGCTCAAAGGCAGAAGGCAAAAGGTAGGGTGAATCAAAACAAAACAATGAAATGAATGACCTCGAAGATGAGGAAGAAGGTCAGGATGAGATGGAGGATGAAGGTGATAACGGAACGACAAACGGACCCCCGAAATCTTGCAGCAGACCTAGAATGCCACACATACTCCACTGTACGAGTCGGGGCAGAGGTGCGAAGATAGAGCTGATTGTGGGCACATCCATAGACCAATCGCACCGACAAGTTGCCCCAGGAATCAAGCTCAAGCTATCAAGGGCATCAACCAGACTGAGTGAAAATGGTTAGGATCTGATGCGATTAAAGGTCTCCGTATGGAGACCATGAGATGGCCCGCCAGGGATAATCAACTCTCAAATATTGGGGCCTACCCTGCTTCGAAATCCTCCTTGGCTGACAACCGAGCGACGACGCTGAATCCTATTTCGGACTTCAAGTGGTAGTATATGCCTACTTCTAGAAAAGGTCGACATCTAACTGCTCTTTCAGAGAGCGTCTCATCTGAAGACGAAGTATAATCCGTTTTCGTTCCTAGGCTCCTCGGCTGATACAAGGGGCCCTCAGGATCGACTGACGCTGATAATAGCTTGTGAACTCACTAAAGAGATGACTAGCGGGGATAATTCAGGGAGAAGTAGGTATAAGAGGAATCTATCTCGTCGAACGTACCGGGTCATGTAAGCAGAGTGCTTGCAGTCAGAAACTCACTGGATCACGCAGAAGAACAAATACTCCATCGGGGGTCAGTTCCTGGCGTAGATTCAAAAGCCTAGGCTTCTGTATGCCGACTTCTTGCGGCATAGAAGCGACGGTGAGCCAGGACCGGAGCCTCCGTTCTGGAAGGAATGGGGCGCCTTCAAGTTAAACGGCCTTTTCAACGCGATTTTGAGCGTGACCGAACCACACGTGCTGCTTTCGCCCTCAATTCCCCAAACGGCGCATTGAAACGTAGGCCAGATGACTCGGGTTTAGGCGAAATTGAGGAGGTGGGAATATGCCGCTGCGCCAGAGTTCAATATCGCCTGTGCGGCGTATGGATGCCAGGAACTAATTGGGAGTATGGAACATCGGCCTTGGCATGATCTTGATGTGAGTTGGACATTGGCGAGGGATGTCTACGTTCCCGAAATAGATTGTTCCGCTCGGACCATTTTTCTTGCGCGTCACGCCCGCCAGTCTCACGACTGCACTGCTGACAATGCGCTAACTTGTTTGTACATATTATGCCACTACATCGGGAGTGTCGGCTACCTATTTACAAAGGCCTATGTTGGCCATTTGAAGTGGCTAGTCGAACGCGCGGGACGGGAGTTTGATACTGGTTTTGCCAGTTGACCCTTGTACGTTTTCTTCTTAATTTTTTTTTTTACATTGTTTCTTTTGATGTTTTCATGCATGGGAAGCAATTGCTCAAAAAAAAAAGGATTCCGTTCTTCCCAACTGGGAGTCCTGTAACTTTCATGCAAGAACAACTTCTTCCCGATTTCTCGAGCTCCGTTGCTATTCTCCCACGACGGCAGTGTATTTTTCCGGGTGCATATCTTTTCATCCTTGTCCAAGCTGTACCTCTACACTGTTGTCTCTTCGAAACTTATGCATCAATATATATGTCCCTGGTGCATGCAGTTGAGCCGACCAGAATTCACACCTCTTTATCTTTTTATGCTCTCCTTTCCGAGTTTCTTTTGACACGCAGATGCGCGGCCTATCTGCAGGAATCTTGCTCAATGAGGGCCTACCTTCATTGCGCCTTCTCGCAGCGGTAATTAAAATTTCCCGGTAGAACAGCTTATCTTTCTTTCCTGTCCTTCCACCTCGTTCTCTCCTATGTTGTGCCTTTACACTGTTTACGCTGTCGGTGGTCAGATAGTAACGTGAAAAGATATACTCCAGTTCTGCGATGGTTCGGTGCCAAGCCTTATTAAGTTGTGAACTTGGCTTCAGAGCCTTCGCGAGCGGATATTGACAGGATCAAGTCCATAGTATGATTGTTTTGAATTTGACTTGCCGGTCACGACTCGCATGATGGACCCTAGCCTTCAGGGTCGCCTGGCAGGCCAAAGATCAAGTGTGATGGCACATGAAATCCACATTTGAGTATCTTGGAAAGTTTCCGTGGGGGTTGATTGGTTGATATTAACCTAGCTAGACCCCTATTCCTAACATAAAACTCCGGCCTTTTCGTGAGCGTGTCACTTTTCGGACCTGTTTGGGCCGTCTCGCATATTGATCGAAGTGGAGAGGTTTGTTAATCTCATTGTCCTACTAAGGAACCGTGGTCCCCTGATGGGCTTGACTGGAAGAGGCTCAAGGCTACTATTCCCTGTGAAAAGCGTGCCATCCTTGGAACTACCGAATTCCCTCTCCGACGTTTAATTTATGGAAGCTTCAATCAGACGAAGGGTTCTGTGCTTACTTCGTTATATGATGCAGCGCAGGTAACGTATCCGCAGCATCCAGTATCGTTAGAATTGCGATGACCACGATGTCGTACAGCGATATCTCTTGAACGTCATTCTGGAGCGCATGCAGACTCGGACAGCGGATGTCATGTCAAGCCCAAGGACACCCAAACTCCTTGGCAACCTTGAGGAGACCACCGGGCTCGGAACGCGCGGCAGAATACGTTCACAACTCACCGAGTCGACGGGACTTAAAGCGCCAACGCCAATAGTAATGTCCGCTGTACGAAAACATGCGAAACTGGGGGCTTGGCTTTGGAATGTGGGAAGCTGTAAGCACTGGGCGAAAAGTCGAGGGGAGGGGTCGTGTTGTGCACGACCGCTAAGAATCAAGAGTGGGGTCCAACAAATATAACAGAGGAGAATCATCTTTATCGTATATATGAGTCCCCCGTGGTCAAGCCGGCGGAAGACGCAGGGTGTGACACATTAATTGCGAATCAAGCCCAGCAGGTACGAATAAAAAGGGTGACATTTATGTCCAACCATCGGTACCGGACAGAGATAAGCGGAGACACTGCGCACATAGTGCAAGGCCCAGTGCCAGACTCTTACCCAGTGCTAGCAAAAAGCAGGAGTTGTCATGTGGTCATGTGTGAGCCTGTGTGAATATTGGGCGTGTGTCTGTTTCCCCACGCCGCACCGATACTTGCAAGGGCAGGGTTCATTTACACCCTGAATTCTTTGTTGTGTTATGCGATAGAGGCCAGGTTCAGTCCATCCACTAAACCCCATGGATATTCCCAACTCCATAAGGACAAGCCCCCGGAAAGGCGCAGACATCCCGAGTCCGAAACAACGTTCCGGCATTCAAAACTTACCTCATGGCAACTTAAAATCAGCATGGGAAAATGACGGCATGCGCTGATAGTGATTGGCCATTTGGGAGATTAACAGCCATGTTCTTTTACCGAGATTCTCGGCCATCAGGCATCCGTTTAGTTGCACAGTAATATGCCGGTCTCTCATCTGGGCGAGGTCAGTACGCCTTAGGTTGGTGTAGCTGCAGCACCTCAGTGATGACATTGTGTTCGCTGACAAGCTTATCCGTTCGCGGAAGTGTCTCGGGACCGTGGCGGAAACGGTTAAACCGGGTACAGTGGCCGGGAGATAGCCCAACTATGGAGATATCCGGCTTGACAGCGAGCGCACTCATATCTAATTTTAAACTCGTCTGGATTTCTCAGTTCGATCTTTGTCAATGGCGCTCTTTTCAATGACCTGAGCAAAACGTCAGAGAACACGGCATTCAACCTGGACTGCTTTAAATACCAAACCTCGGTCCGGCTCCCAAAATTCCACGTCTTCCTACCGGAACTCCCTCACCCACACTTCCACCCCTTCCTTACCCCTCCCCGAAAGATATACCCTGCTCCTACCCTCGTAGGCTTGCAAGATAACATTACGAGTTGGGCAACCTACGATGAGCAACATCCTCACACATCGGAAACAGGCAGCGAGGCCGGACATAGAAGAAGGCAGCCCAACGCTTGAGCTGAAGCGAGACCAGGAAGTAGACAGTGAGTAAATCCTTCCAATTTGCTCCATACGCCATCGATCTGTGGGCCCTCGCTGAGATAATTCGTTCAGAATACGCAAATGGGGAGGAGTACGAAATCCTCCTCCGTTTCGTCGAGGACGAAGCCGCCAAGGCTAAGGCCAGGCGAGGAGATGGTGACAGCGGGGAGGAAGGCCGGTACAAACGGCTTTGGTATGCACCATGGAAGGTGGTCAAGCTGGAGAGTACAATTGAGAGGGAGGTGTGTGACAAAGCTCCCTTTCGCCATCCCATGCGTTTTCGTGCATCTCATCCCTCCTGCATTTCATCCAAACGGTCACCTGGCGTGTAGGCACCTCCGGAGTGGACTGAGACAGACATCACCACAGGGTTGCCCGAAGCTGAAGTGCCATCTCATCGGGAAGGGTTTGGGTACAACGAACTTGAAAGGTACGCTTCCTTCCCACGTACACGCGCCATCTGCACAACACGGATATCTCATTCCTGGCCTCATCCCTCCGATATTGGACCGACGCCACTCATGACCTGTGTCGCCAAAACCGCATTCGCTTCAAATGCACCGATCCCACATTGACGCTCTGCTTCCACGACCTGCATTTCCAACGATGAAGTGCGCATGAGAACCAAATCCTCAAATTCATATCCTACTTCCGTGGTCCCATTCTCTACGTGATGGAAATTGCCGTCATTCTTTCAGCTGGTTTGCGTGACTGGATTGACTTCGGTGAGTTAATTTCAAAAATAAGCTCGCACGGGTTCGGTGGCTCCATGCCGATACCGATGCCGATGGCCTGTCATCACAACCTTGGCTAATCAATACATTCGTCTTCTCGCCGCTGGGAATCAGGTGTTATCGTAAGCTCTTTTCTTATCGCACACGTGGTTGCAATGATAAAATCTGATCCGATATGGGTTTAGATCGGTATCCTGTTCCTGAACGCCGTTGTTGGGTGGTATCAAGAGAAGCAAGCAGGTGACATTGTCGAAAAGCTCAAGGCTGGAATCGCATTAAAGGCTCTCGTGCGTACTTGCAGCCGCGATTCTGCTTCTGTTGCCTGTCTAGTCAGAGTTCTAACTCGATCGTAGGTTCTCCGAGATGGCAGAGAGCAAGAGGTAGAAGCGCGTGAATTGGTGATCGGCGATATCGCGAGTGTCTCACTCTCGCTTTTAGTATGCGCCATTCATACTTAACTCCATATAGATTATTCTTCAAGAGGGTCACACCATTCCAGCAGATGCTAGAGTAATGCACTTTCGCAGTGTCGCTAACTTCAGGCTGTTGACGCGCCTCTCGACAGATCCTTGCAGATTATGAACATAGGGACCAATACAAGGCTAAATCTAAGACCCAGAGTCCGCGTCAAGTTCGCTTGAAGGAGTCACCGAGCAGTGCTTCCGAAGGGACCGAAGTTGGAGATGATGACTATGAGGAGGTTGATAAAGGGCCTAGCATCATTAGCGTAGATCAGAGCGCAATAACGGGAGAGAGTTTGGCGGTTGATAAGTACGCGGGCGAAATTGCATACTATGTGAGTTTTTCTTTTTTCTTGAGCGGGTGCAGCTTGAAGGATGACAATGAACGGCCATTTCAGACTTGTGGTGTGAAGCGCGGCAAGGCGTACGCGGTCGTCAGTGCCTCTGCTTCGCAATCTTTCGTCGGAAAGACGGCGGCTCTTGTTATGAGTACGCGTTTCCCTTCCCGTATTTTCTACATCCTTCCTCATCCGCTCGTCGTTTCTTCCTCCGGTAGATGCGAACGAAAAAGGCCACTTCCAGATTGTGCTCGGTGGTATCGGTACTGCTCTTTTGATTCTTGTCATATTTTTCATTTTTGCGGTGTGGATTGGGGGTTTCTTCCGTCACCTGGGGATTGCTCAACCAAAGGATAACAACCTTTTGGTATACGCACTGATTTTTTTGGTGAGCCTTATCTCTTTCGATTACAACCAGAGTCTTGTCAGTTGGGTTACTAATCAGGAGATATGGTGCCTGTTATAGATTATTGGTGTACCTGTGGGTTTGCCCTGTGTTACAACGACGACTTTGGCGGTCGGTGCGGCCTATCTCGCACGAAAGAAGTGTATCGTTCAAAGGCTTACTTCAATCGAGTCTCTTGCTGGCGTCGACATGTTGTGCACGTGTGTTGCGTCTACAACACTTCCACGAATTCAGTCTGACAATTCGTGTGATCATATTTAGGGACAAGACGGGTACGCTGACGGCTAATAAGCTTTCTTTGAATGAGCCGTATGTCGCGGATGGTATTGACAGGGATTGGCTTATGGCTGTCGCTGTTCTTGCGTCGTCCCACAACGTTAAGACACTCGATCCCATTGACAAGGTTACCATTCAAACTCTCAAGGGTTCGTCTTGTTGCTCTTTTTTCGCCAATTCCTCTGAGCTGATGAACTACCACATACAAAGATTACCCCGGAGCTCAAGAGATTCTTCGTGGAGGTTGGATAACGCACAAATTCAACCCCTTCGATCCTGTCTCGAAGCGAATCACAGCTGAGGTTGAGCGAGATGGGCGGAAATTCACGGCGGCTAAGGGTGCACCGAACGCAATTTTGAAGCTGAAGAAATTTGATCCTCAGGTGGAGGGAGGTTATAGGGATAAGGCGCAAGAGTTTGCGAAGAAGGGGTATAGGAGTTTGGGAGTTGCGATCAAGGAGGAAGGAAAGGACTGGGAGCTTTTGGGCATTATGTGAGTCCCAGTTCTTGCGTTTTCCAGCTGCGATTCGCGCTGCGCTGGGTGAATTAGCTGATAGAGGGCCTCGTTGTTTTAAAGGTCCATGTCGGACCCTCCACGTGGCGACACTGCTAAGGCGAGTATACTGAGCTTGGGAGACTGACAGTCTGAATCTAAGACTGTTTCCGCTTGATAGACGATTGGAGAGGCCATGAATTTGGGCATTGGCATTAAAATGCTGACTGGTGATGCCGTCGCCATCGGAAAGGTGCGTCAACCCATTTCTTATTGGATGGCTTTATTTTGTGATTAATGTAACTACTTGTTGAAATCCTACATAGGAATTGGCTCGTCAACTCGGTCTTGGAACGAACATTTATGATTCCGAGCGTCTCATTGGCGGAAACATGACTGGTTCTGACATTCGTGATTTCATCGAGGCTGCCGATGGTTTCGCTGAGGTCTACCCCGAGCACAAGTACCAGGTCGTGGAATTCTTGCAGCAGCGTGGCCACTTGGTAGCTATGACTGGTGATGTAGGTCCAAGATGCTCACAGTTCGCGACTTGGATGACTGATTTGTTGATTCTTGTGCCTGAATAGGGCGTTAGTACGTAGATGAACCTTCGAAACATCGAGATGACATTAGAGCTAATGGGTTCTGTCCTCAATAGACGATGCTCCCAGTTTGAAGAAGGCAGATTGCGGTATTGCGGTGGAGGGCGCTAGTGATGCTGCTCGTAGCGCTGCTGCGGTGGTATTCCTTGATGAAGGTCTTAGCTCCAGTGCGTCCTGAATTTCTACGTTTCTGCCCGTTGAATGTTCTGACAGTGGATGTTAGTTATTACATCCATCAAGGTCGCTCGTCAGATATTCCATCGCATGAAAGCATATATCGTCTATCGTATTGCTCTTTGTATCCACTTGGAAGTGTACCTGGTGAGTGGCCTGGCGTATATTTCCGTTTTTAAAGGGGAATGGCGATTGTGCTGATCATATCCTCCGTCTTTCAGATGCTCGCGATGATCATTCTTAATGAGACTATCCGGGTCGACCTTATCGTCTTTTTGGCCATTTTCGCTGAGTAAGTCGATTCGGGATTTTCCCGCTCCTCTCGCTAATGTCGCCCGTTTGAAATAGTGTTGCTACTATTGCCATTGCTTGTGAGTCGGCGATTATGAGTTGTGCTGTATGCCAGGCTTTGCTGATCTCGCTCTTGATCACCCTAGATGATAACGCCCCTTGTACGTTCTTGAAACTATCCACTCTAGTGGTTTACCGACAGTTTCCCCTTCTAGTTGCCAAGATTCCTGTGGAGTGGCAGTTGCCTAAGGTCTGGATAGTGAGCACTATCATGGGTAATTCTTCGTTATGGGGTGGTTGGCACTTGGAAGCTTACTTCTGGTATGACTTACAGGTCTATTACTTGCTGCTGGTACTTGGCTCGCGCGCGCCACTACGCTCCTGCGTAGGGGAGGCATCATCCAGAATTTCGGAAAGTAAGTGATCTACGAACTCGTTGATAGGTTCGCACTCACCTGTTCCTGTCACTAGCATGCAAGAAGTATTGTTCCTGGAGGTTGCACTTACTGAATCCTGGGTGATCTTCATGTGCATTTCATTTCTCTAAACACGAGGTGACCCTTGGGGCTAATAAATTTATTGTAGCACACGCCTGAGCCAAGGTGGTGATGCTGGGTTCGTGTGGCCATCTTGGCAGCTGGTTGGTGCTGTTCTGGGTGTGGATATCCTTGCTACTGTATTCGCGGCGTTCGGTTGGCTCGCTGGAGCTCATCCTCAACGGTAAGCTATCTACTTTAGGAGTTGATCGATATTCAACATCACCGCAGTTGGGTTGACGTGGTCACCCTCGTTCGAGTGTGGTTGTTCTCTTTTGGTGTTATCATTGTTGTCGCTTTTGCATGTGAGGATTCTGCCCATCACTTGTTTGCCACCGATGGCTCACTTGGCCTATTTCCTATCCCAAGACATCCTCCTCAACAAGATAAGTTGGCTGGACCGCCTGGGACGTAAAAACCGCAGCAAGAGAAATCACAAATGGGAGAACTTCCTCACCGAGATGCAGCGCCTGACGCTCGTTCATGAGGTTGGCTCCGATGGTGCAGGAGAATACTTCCGTTTCGCGTCGGGTGCCCCCAGCAAGCCGGGCGAAGAGGAGTCTCAGAAAGCCAAGTAGGAGGAAGAGAGGGTGAACCTCGTTCCCCCTTGTTGGCCTTGGGCTCATGACGCCTCCCTTTTGATCGGATAGTTTTAGACACCTAAACCTTATTCGATTATCACCGTTTCAGGCAACTACTCTTTGCGCCTTTTTGCACATGTACAGCACACGTTTCGTTTCGTACCCACGCCTCTTCAGCCAGTACCTCTTCAACCCTTCTCTCTTGTTTTGTGATTCGAAATTGTTCACGAAAATGACGTAATGACGATTTCCAACTTCATGCGCGTGATCGACCTGCCATCACAAGCGATGCGATCGTTTCATCGGGACGAATTTCAATCTTGATCCAGACACGATATTTGGGTTTGCTCGATATGGGAAACCAGGTAAAGGTGCAGTGATGTGCAGTGGACCCAAATACTCACATCGACAAAGCGGCTGACAGAATACTTGTTGGCAACATCCGATAAGAAGAAATACGAGGAGGCCACCAAGCATCCATTTTTGGACGCTGCGCGAAAAGGAACGATCGACAGTGATTTACTTTCTTTCTGGCTTTCACAAGATCGCATTTATGCGGCGCATGGTTACCCTCGTTTCATCGGGGGTTTGATCACAAAGATCCCATTTTTGTCACAGCACAAGATAGGCAGCGTTCAGGAAACGAACAATCAGCGGATCTTGTCCCTGTTATCCTTTTCGTTGCAAAATATCGTACAAGAGGCCGACTTCTTTCAGAAGTCCGCACAGAAGTATGGATTGCAGATTGAAGGGTGGAAGGAGCGGGCTGCAACGAGGAACTATCTTGCTGAGATGGCTCGTGTGGATAGCTGGGGAAGTCTTGAGGAAGGTCTTGTCTTCCTTTGGGCGATGGAGAAGGTGAGTGTAATATACAGTTCACGGGGAGATGCATGTGAGATGCATTTATAGCTCTACCTTGACTCCTGGAGCTTTGTTGCGAGTGGCATATTAGGACAAGATAAGGAGGATGGGAAGGACAGCAATGCACAGCGGGCGGTGAAGGACTTTGCAAGAAACTGGTCCAACAAGGAATTCATCAAGTTTGTCGACAAATTAGCGGAGCTTGTGGATGATTTGGAAATCGACCCCATTTTGGAAACCGGGAGGAGGATAAAGGTTGTTTGGGACAGAATTGTTGAGCTTGAGATCGAGTTTTGGCCAGATGCTGAAGAGGTGGCAAGGATGCGTAAGCATCCTCCGAGTCCTTACTTGAGCCCTGATCAGGTGGGCAGGACTCCAGCCGCTATGACTTCGTGACGAGGCTGGAGCCAACCCCCGGTTCATGAATGCGGATTTTTACTGAATTGTTGTCGCCGTTAGAAAAGGGTCTTCACAGTTTGAATAAATAAAGAGAGGACTTCGGGATGAAAAGTGTTTGTTTATATTTACAGTACAAATAAGTCCAAATTCCCGTCTCAATCCCGCAATGGATGCATTCAATGATCATTGGGGCTAACTGGGTCAACAAACTGGCTTCATTTCACATTGTATATGATAACATCATAAAGACTGGTTGGCCATCACTCCCTTCACAAACATGTATGGAAAGTGGGACTGCTGCTGCTTTGATCATGCAGCCTGGTATGTGTCAGAGGCAGGCTGAGGATGGGAGGTCGGATGAAGCTCAACGTGGATCCAGGTCATCTGACAGAAGGCTGGAGACGTATCCGGAGGTGGAGCGGAGCTCCAGAGGAAGATCCCTGCTAGCCAATCACCTTGTGAGGAAGCCAACAATTCGGGCCTTTGTGATGGTAGCGATGCTTCAACTGACACTATTTCGACCACTGCGGGAATCCATGGCTTTAGTAGATCCTCGTTCCTTTGCGTGCTTTTGCTCCGTATGTCGAGCGTAAAAGGCAGCACGTAAATCCCCGCGATCCGTATGTTCTTGGCCAATAGGGCGCACCCCTGTCACATTTCCAATGCGAGTGCCCCAATCTACATTGGCACTCATGAATACCAGATTTACCACCAGCGGGATCCTCCCGAAACCATGTATCGTGTCGCCAACGTTTATGCCATTTCGCATGAATGGGTACTTGTTCAGAGCTGGAAGAACGATCAGGACTCATTTCAGCCGTCAGTACTTATGGCCCGTGTGACCCAGTTCTGCCTGCTTACCTGCGCTATCTAGGTTCACACACACCCTGGCAACTGGGTTCGAAGTCATCGAAGGAAAGACGACTGCCGATTCGGTGAGCCTCAGGACCATCTTCTCAGAAACTGGCATCTCTACGGGGCATTCAACCATTGACACGACATTGAACAACAGATCCCCAACAACTCATGACATTCCAGTTCAAGTCAATGCGAATCCATCCGTTTATCTCTATCGCAAGTGCACCAGATACCGTATCAGAGTTCATTTCAAGCTCGATGCCAATGATTGGAATCAGTCACGAACTGTTGGGGCTTGGCGCCAGGGCTCTGCTCCCTTGGTGGGTGAGTATGAAATCTACGTCAATACTCGGGACGTCCTTGTCGTCACCGACTCACTATCGGGGACATCTGTCTTGGAAGGACCCGGTCTCAATGGTCCACCGTCCAGCCCTACCATTCAGCCATGGGATCGGGGTACACGCAAATGTACGAGTTGGCTGCACTGGAGTGGTTTTTAATTGGTTCAGTGTGTTTCAAATATTGTCTTCCGAATGTTAGCTCGGTGTCATTTTGTATTCTTGAATCCATGGGCTTTTCATGATATCGAGCATTCAAAACTGGCGTTCCTGATAATTGGAAATCACCCAGATAGAGGCTGTACAAAGCCTCAATGCCGGTGGCATTCATCGCATTCTCCGTGCTGAAATCCGGAGTGGATTGTAGACGTGAATGGGGAAGAGGCATATATATTAGCCTCCCCACATTGCCCTCCGTGGCACCTTTGCCTACTTCTAGCATAAGATAAGTACTCTTTCTGGTGTCACCAACACCCCTTGCGAGCCCATCGACCGCATGACACTCCAACGCGTGTGCCACAGAGCTGCGGCCAGTATAGTTTGTTGCACTTCCGACTCGCCATCACTGGTTAGAGAATCTTTGCGGGGGGCTCCGTTTCATCCCGGGGTAAGCATGGCTATGAGATATCCGATATAGGAAGAATGGTCATCTAGGTGCCAGCCGCCCAAAAACGGGGTTTTCCCAGGGTATTAAAGAGGCTATCAAGTCAACAGGCTGAGCATTCGTTGGAAGCAACTTCGAAAGCTACCCTGATGTGTCACTCATCTTGGTTGGGGGTCATTAATACTTGGGGCAGTCAAATCCAAATCGGCGGCGAAGTCTCGATGTGGTTTAGCAACTTGGAAACGGAGTAGCGAGATGGGTAAACTAATACAATGGAAAGCACTACCATCCAATGAGTGGAAACATGAACGACAACACTGCGCATGACACAAGAACGTCGGATGCAGCGGACGAAGGGATGTGGCCTAAATGTCGAGTCGAAGTTCTTGGGAAAACGATATGATCGCAAAGAACTAAGCAGCTTGAGTTCCAAGTAAAATACCCAAAGATTCGCTTCTAGACGGATTCATTGTGTGCTCGCACTCACGTGTCGACTTTCTTCTCTGACGCAGCATCAGATTGCCTGGTGTCAGGATTCTCCGCTTCACTGCCGATGTATTGGGGGTTTATAGTTGGTATTGGTCCTCGAAACCAGTTCACGCCACCGTACGCTGGGAAGTAGTACCATGGGAGGGAAAAGATCAGAACACTTCCCATCACGACAACGGCTGTTTTCGTTGTCGTATTTCATATTAGGACCACGGAGGGGCGGAAAAGAGGAGTGTAAACTTACAATAGTTCATGTCATTGGCACCTGGGTGAGGCGTGCTTGGGAAAAGGAAGATGACATTGATGAACGCCATGAAGTGTACAGCGACAATGGCTATCGGGAGGCCCTGATGACGAAAGCCGTAAAGGATAATGGGCAAGTAGGGTATTGGACTGAATAAACTACATCTGCCCACCGAACCGCGGAAAGCGAATCGGCACATAATCGGAACCGAGTACTGATGGGATGGTTGAACGGTGAGTAGTTAGTCGAACAGTCGGTCGCATTGTCTCAAAAAAGCGATAACAACTCACCGCGATATAGAGCCCCATCACAGAGATGGAAAAAATGGCGCTAATGGCGGCAGGACCCGCAAACGAAAGTAACCCCAGGAGAGCCGCTCCAATGCCCGAGAACCAAACAGCTAGAAGGAGATGAATCAGATTACAGAATCGATGGTTCAATCAGGGTCGGAGTCCCACTGTTTACTGGTGTCCCTGTGAATGAATTCATCCGATAGAGATACCTGGAGAAGGGGAGAGCCCCATCTCGAGAGAATGCAAAAGCCTGACGCGAAGAAGCCAAAAGCTGGACATTTACCCTTCAAATGAGAAAAGGTTCACTTTCCGATCATGCTAATGCTTACCATACTGCTTCCCATCATATACTGTACAATAACCACAATCGCCCAGAGGGAAAGCGTAGCCTTCCTTCCCAGCGAGTTAAATAAAATGGTCGCCATTGGTTGGCCTATTGGATCGTTCACAATGGATTCCATGTCCGTACCCATGAAGAAACTGAGGACGATGAGGATTGCAGCGCCGAGGATGCCACCAACGCCGGTGGCGAGGACGATACTCCAAGGTACGGCGGTTGCTGCGTTTGTTCTATGGATCAAAACATGTGGGTACGAGTTAGAGAGCAGAGTTGTTTCGACTTAACGCTTCTTCGCTAATGTGCACACTGGAATCGAACGAGCCTGCAAGTGATTTATCGTACTACGGAGCGTTGGGCCTTCTAAAGTAGCACATACAGATTGTCCAAACAGGTGACATCCATGAAAGGAAGAAAGCAAAGCCATTTGGCCAGCCGTTCACTGGGATATACAGAGAACTGATAAGTGACATGGTTCCGATTATGGTACAGGCGCAGAACCAATTACGTACGATTCGTGAAGTTGCCTAGGGCGTACGATGCGGTATTGTGATATTCCTTTGGAGTCACGGCAGGAATGACAATGATGATTGCCAAACAGAGACTGTCGATGATGAAGGATAAGTTGACATTGTCGGGCTGACCAACTGAGAAGACCTACGCAATATTGAGAAACGTATAAATATTCTGTAGGCGAGCTAGCACCGCTGTTCCAAGACTTTCGGAAAAATGTTCCATTGAGTTGCAACGATGGACGATAAGGATAAGAGAAATTGAAACCGACCAGCAGACAACAGCGTGAGACAGAACGATAGCAAGATACACAGCACTGGGAAACTAAGCGTCACTAGCTCAGAAATACGAAATACGGATCACCCACAAGGTCTGACTTGTCGTAGGCGAGAAAGATAAGTGAGGCGAACCGATTGTCGCAGCCGCCATAATTTGGACGGCACAACCCCAGTCAATTGACGCCACGCTGGCTATGGTACCAACTGTATTAGCATCTGTTCGGGAACAACTATTGTCAGCGAACGAGGAACCCTTGTGTTGGGGGAAAGATAAGACACGTACAGCCGACAATCCAAGCAAACAAGTTTCTCCATTTAGGAGAGGCGTAGTGATGAGCCCAGAAATAAAGCTGTAGTGAATCCCCAGGTAAGCAATTGTTGGAAAATCCAGTGCTACTAGTATCATGGTCCACGCGTTAGGAGCAAAAACTCACACCGCCAGAGGTGGGAGCTGCGCTTGCCAGCTCAGCCATAGCCAGCGCAATTGTCATCAGGAACAGCGAAGCGACGAGCCACCCCCACACCATCGACACCGCACCACCATTTGGAATGGCATAGACCAAGACAGAGGCGATACTTGGAAATAGCCCAATGATGGAAAAAACGAGCCCGAATGTCTCAAACATGGTGAAGGCACGCTTGAACTCTTGCTTATATCCAAGCTTTGCACGTGTTTCTTCATCACGAGTAAGGAGATGGGCATTACGTCGTTCGATGACCACTTCGACCTTGGAAGTATGCTCATACGCTGTTGCAGACATGATGGCTTGTCTAGGTGCGGTAGGGACGGATGACTAAGCGCATCAAGCCGCCATACATCTTCTTTAAGCATTCTCATCGAAGGAGCTCCGTCAATTGAGTGAACATTGGGGAATAGTCGTGACAGCCTCACTTCGAATATATGAGATTTGACGGGTTCAATGCGAAATGCAATCCATGGTCGATCAAGGGAGCGATGCTAAGCTGGTCCCTGAGTACCTCCAATGACAATACCCCAAAAGACCACCAACAAAATACATACTATCCCACCGCGGAAACGTTCATCCGCGGTTCTGTCGGCTCGGCAAGCGCCGTTAATGGTGGCGTCCCTTCAGCCGTGGAGCACTTCACGTTGGCGGGTGCCAATTTTAGCCGATCAAGTCTGTGTTACTGTATGGCTCTGACTCGTACTTCGTCACTTCAAATTGATATTCTCAATGATTCGTGTTGGGTCAACGCCTGCGCGTGCAAGTATGGTATTTCACGATATCGCGCTCACGGAAGGTCAATGCCCTTTTCGGAACCGGAGTAGCCTGGGAAATATATTAGCGTCGGACTCCCAGCTCCAGGCTTCACGCCCACCCTACGTATCCCTGCATACTCCTAACCAGCTGATCGTAGGATACTCCATTTGGAGATGCTCATCATGCTCGCAAGCGGGGGGCCGGTCACTTCAAAAGGCGCGTTATGGAACATTTTGCTCATGAAATATTGCTGTTTGAACGTATCTGTATGATATTGCGGCGTGATGGTGTTACTGTGGCTAGGCAATTGCCTTTCTCCATTGCCACGAGTTTGAAGCTATCAAGTGTTTCCTACAACTGACCATCTCCTCTAGGACGAGAACCCACCTTGCCGTGGTCTAGAGGCTCCCCCAGTATGCCCAATGTGGCTGCTGGTTTTGGGTCTAAGAGGTTCTCCTTTGCCGCGATGGATAACGACGTGGATGGCACTTACACGACCCGTTATCCTGCGTTGGCCTTTTGCACCGTTCTGTGCCGCCTTCTTCCATCACCTTCCACTTTCCTACCTTCTTGCTCACAGTAGTCGAGAGACCATGGGCACAAGTCTATCTCCCTTCCTTCTCTTACGAAAGCACTGAGTGGTTCGCAATACACGCGGCTCCGCGCCTAACGGTTATTGCCCCCGCCTGCGTTACCGAAGCGCGGTTCTCCAAAGGACCAAGAGGCACGAAGGAGTCGTCTGGCCAACATTCCCAGGAGCCGTTTCAACTAACCCGTTTCGCCGCGGTTCTCCAACGCATCAAGAGGCACGCTTACGCGTCTGGCCAACAAGGCTCGGAGCCGGCATCCGTTGCCAACAAATCCAAAATGTATACTCCCCCCCGGAAACGGTGTACGAGTACCCTAGGCGCTCCGAACCCACGCATCCATATGTTTTACTTCCCCTCTTGTACATAATTTTTGATCTTTTGATGGGTGCCCTTGGCGCCTCATTCGGGCAGCCTGCACGTGCACGTTAAATATCCAGAGCTCACACACACACAACTGACCATCTTGTGAAGAAGACAACAGCCCGGGTCTTGCGCAATGGCAGCAGTTGCTCAGCTAACGCTGTTTCAACCCCTGCAAATATACATGGGTCTAGCCCCTTTGTGTGCTTTTGTTCCGGATGTCGACCCTAATTTAAAGGAGCTCGTAGATTCCTGTGTCTGCCATGTTCTTGGTTTTATTTTACTCACTATAGCAGGCCGTGCTCCGGTCCTGTCTCCAATACGAGGGGCTCAATCTACATTGTCACTCATGAACACCAGGCGGCTTACAAACCAGCTGGACCGTCCCGAAAATTAGCTGGAAGAACGGTTGGGATCCATCTCAGACATCAGCACTAGCATATCCATCTGTGCATGCGTGTGGCCCGAGTCCTGCCCACTTACACGCGCTATCTAGGTTCACCCACACCCTGGCAACCGGGTTTGAAGTTATCGAAGGAAAAAAGACTGCCGATTCGGTGAGTCTCGGGGGCCATCTTCTCAGAATCTGGCAGCTCTACACATCAAATGTCGCATCAAGGTGTCCTTTAAGCTCGATGCTAATGATCGGAATCATTGACCTGGCGCCAGGGCTCTGTCCCCTTGGTGGGTGAGAATGACTCAAATGTTAATACTCGGGGGATGTCCTTGGTATCAATAGTCCGTCCATGCAAACTTACAGTCCAGCCATGGGACCGGTGCACAGGCAAATGTGCACCGAAGTGGTTTCTAGCTGTTTTAGTCTGTTTCAAATACTATTCTCCGAATTTTGGCTCTGTGTTGTCTTGTGCGCTTGGACCTGGAAGCCGTTCGGATGGATCAGTCTGCTCAAAAGTTCCGATTCCTCTGGAATTCATCGCATTCTCTGTGCCGACATCCGGAGTGGCTTGTGGTACAGAGGGTTTATATATGACCATCTCTTAACATTCTCCTTCACGCTGCCTTCCCTACTCCGGTTGCAGTTATTTCACATAAGATACTCTTGCTGCTGTCACGAACACTTTGCGAGTCTATTGCAGACACTCCAACGCGCGTCTGGCACGAAGCTTCATCCGAGTATGGAAAGCTTGCATGCTGTTCGTGGTACTTCCAAGCCTTTGTTATTGGAGAGTCCTTGCGAGGGACCTTTCATATGAAGCTTGAAGACTCCCGGGCCGGTGGTTGAAGAGTAATAGTGGTTGTGGACGGTGTGGTGATTAGGAGCAAGATCGCCCCAGGTCTGTCGATGATTGTCTCCTGCTTCCTGCTCCTGACAAGCCTGGTCGCTCTCCCACCCCAACATCTGACTGCCTCGTTTCTATCACACTTCGGAGTCACCAAATTGATCGATGTCAGTGGACAGGCCTGGTATTCCAGTCTGCACAGAGAGATAACGTCATTGATGACGATTCCCCATTCATTAACCGTCCGTCCATGAAACCCGAGTTGCAATGTGTTGAGTTATCCCGAACGCACGCATTCTGGCCTCTCGTACTGACTGACAGAAGGGGCGCTTGTTGTGTGGGTATTAGAGGATGTCAAGGCTGTGCACCTACTTCACGATCCAGCGATGTGTTGAACTGTTTAGTCTTGCTCAACCGCCGCCACTTGCTGAGAAAATTATGGAAAATTTACCGAAGAAAGCCAAATCATTGCAGGGTCACCGACCTTCAGGGGTGCCTTCTCTCGAGCCTCTGTCGGACGATATCAGGGGAAGCGCCAAGGGAGGCAAAAGTTTATCATGCCTGTCTTTGGTAAAGAAAATTATGGGGAAATTCTCCAAGGATGCCAAAACATTGGAAAGTTGCCAAGCTTCGGGGGTGCCTTCTTTCGCGCCGTCGGACGACACCAGCGCAGGCTCCAAGGGAGACAATAAGGGTGGAAACTTACCCGGCATGTCTTTGGCTAAGGGGATCAAGGGGATGTTCTCAAAGAGACCCAAATCGTGGAAAGATCATCAAGCTTCGAGGGCGCCTTCCGCTTCACGCTTGCCGTCTCCTGCAGTCAACACCAGGGGAGATGCCAAGGGAGGCATCGGGGGTGGCACAGGTGCCGGATCCATCCGGAAAGGTGTTCTGAGCGTGCTTCATGTCGTGCATGCGAGCCTAGATGGTGTCCCTGTTCCTGGCCTCAAAAGTGTGATTGGTGGTTTGCTTGAAGTTGTTAGCCAATTAGAGGTGCGTTCTGCCAAAGCGGGTTAATGGGAACATCATACTCACAACCTTGGGTGTCATAGAGAGTCGGAGCAAACGCCGAGGCGATTCATCAGCTCCAGAACAGCATCAAATTCTTTGTTCACTCAATATTGGAGCCTCTCAAACAATATGGTGCCAAAAATCCTGTTCCTCACGGGATTTCTAGAGCCATCGAGGCTGTATCAACGTATGTTTACTGTCATATCCGTGCATACCCGACCCCGACCCGACTTCCGGACCTCCACCCTCTTCACCTCCGGAGTCATAACCTACCGCTGCCTTTCCGATACTCACCTTCGGTCTCGGCAACACACCCCTCCTCTTACCTCTCCGACCCCTTCTCCGTCCGTTCCGATACTCATCTCGGACCGAACATCTCCCTACTCGCCACCCTTCCTACAACTCCGCTCCCCCCTCACCACACCTCCACCCTCCCGTCATCCCCTACGCTATCTCCGTCCGTTCCGATATCCACCTTCGGACCTGACTACTCTTCCTTACCTTCCCCTCTCTCATTCCTCCACCACCCTTCCGCCAAGTTACGACCATCCACCGCTGTTCCGTACTTCACACCCGGACACCGTTCGTACCTTACTCCGAGCCTCCGTCATAGTCCATACCTCGGACTTTGACTCCACCTCGGTCTTAGTCCATTGCATTGGTGACCTCATACTACGTGAACACCATTGCCAATATTCCTCGGACTTCCAACCCCGCCTCCGGCACTCTCGCCGTTTGTAATGTATTTCTCGCAATTCCCCCTCATCCCTATTTGGACTACTGCTTCTTTCTATTCTAGCCAGTTAGTCATCACCCCCACTTCCCCTCATCCTCCTGCCCCTCTGGGCCTCGCCCACTCTACCTCCTTTCGGATGTATCACAGGTCTTGCCCTATGACCTTCGGTACCGCTCCGCTCCCTCTAACCCTTTGTTCCCGTTCGGACGTCTTCGTTCCGATTCAGTTACCCTTTGTTTCTCCTTGTGCTTTTGCCCCTTCCTTATATATCGGCGCTTGTACATACTCGTCTGTTTTCAGTCCGAAATCGACCTGAAATGCCCCCAAGAGACTTCCTGCTCACCTACTGTGAAATTAAGGACCAAATGGACAAACAGCAATGGCACAGCGCTCCGCTTGAGTCGCTGAGGCCAAGGTCCCTCCACGCTAAGTCTCCGATTCCACTCAGGAGTCGTCCGTTTCCGCCCATCTCTAACATTTACGCCTCCAGCTGCTTCTCAGGGTCGGGACAATCTGACCATTTCAGTGAAATCGCTGCGACCACCGCACCATCGCAATCATATCTAGACAAAAACCCTGCCTGCCTCTGGGAAAATCGCGACAAAATCGAAGGGGATGTTTGCCTGGCTGGAGAGAGGATACGTGATGCCTTGATGGCCTTTCAAGTAGCTAACCCTCTACAAAGCATACACGATATGCTAAATGTGATTTACCTGGATGTAGGCTTCGCAAGCGATTCAAGTCCATATAGGAATGATAAGTATGCAAAAAGATGTCCAGATTCAGTTTGAGGTATGGTACAATTCCTTGCTCTCTTAAACTCCTAAAGTTAATCAATACACTAGTGGCTTCACAAGCAGATCAAAGTAGCTACCCATCCAGCGGTGTGAATATTGTATATTCTGATGAGTCCTAGGCACAGAAGCACGACGAAACTGTGGAAGGAGAAGCTGCCCCACAGCTAGGATTCCATCCTGATGTATCTCCCAGTGCCCTTGGTAACAATTGTGGCACCAACCCATCTGGCACACCATCTGATCGATTCTTGGGATGTAGGGTGAAATTCCTGGAGAGGGGGTCATGTGACAATGCCCATCAAATTGCTACTTGGCCCGGTTTTTTTTTAAATTGAACAGTGCCCCGGGTCCCAGCTACAGCCTTCTCATTATGGAAGGATGCCTATGGATATGATATTACAGCCATTTTCAATTGAATTGTCACGTGAGCAATTTTCGGTTCCGTGCTTGAAAATGAGGCTTGCATGTTTTCTGGAGCTAGAGACCAAAGAACGTGTGGGTGTGCGAGGAACGAGCACCCCACGGGTTTAAGGTCTCTAGTCTCATAATGAAGTGAGGTTGAATGTATTGTTCAATCTCATAATGATTATTATTATATAATATTATATATCTATAATGAAGTCAGGTTGAATGTATTGTTTGAGAGTTAATTATATAAGCTTTTCCCGCGCTCAAGCCTGTTGGTGGCATCTTGCCATTGTGCTGGATAACCTGTGGTGAGACAATAATATCGAATGGAGAGGACGTTGGCATGAACCCATTGCAAAAAACCCCATGCAAAACGGTTGAAAACTGAGAGAGATATGGGGTGTGGCCCATGCCAGCGCGTGTTTTGAGTGTGGGAAAAGTGTCCACGGCCTCATACAGGCTGTTTGATGACTAAAGTTAATAATACGGTATAGAGAGGCTGTTTGAACGAGCTCATTGAAAAAAACTTGACGAAAAACGAACAAGATTTGACAGAGATACGAATGTACATGTGTTTTTGTGTGAAAAAATGTGAAAAAACATCCCACCGCCTCATACACCCTCATTCGCGATGTGCGCCAATAATATAAAAGAATGAGGGCGTTGGTACAAGCATGTACAAAAAACAACGACGAAAAACGAATGATAATTGACTGAGATACGAATGTACATGGTTTTTTTGTGAAAAAATGTAAAAACATGTCCTACCGCCTCATACGCGCTCATTCGCGGCTTGCACCAATAATAGAAAATGACCAGGAAGGTAGTCCAAGCCCATTAAAAGAAACCCGACGAAAAACAAATGGAAATTGACAGAGAAACTTATGTACATGGTTTATTTGTGGAAAAAACGTTCCACCTCCTCACTCATGCTGATTCACGACTTGCACTAATAATACCAAATGCATAGAATGTTATTACGGGCCCATTGCAGCAAACCCGACGAGAATCGGTGAAGAACTGACAGAGATACCAATCCAGTGTCAGCTCCGCGGGTGATCTGTGAGTGGGAAACGTTCTCCAGCACCTCACAGGTGTTTTAAAAATATGTAAAAATATTAAGTACTTGCGGTAATAATATTTAGAGTAGCATGCAAATTTTCAGGACAGTTGGTGCAGTATCAAGCGAGATATGATAAATTATTCCATTAAATGTCACTTGGCACCCTCAAGATCGCAAGATATCAGGTTAAGGTAATAATACACATTGTAGAGGGCATTGACAGGCGCCCGTTGAAAAAAACCCGAAGAGAAACGAATAAGAACTGACAGAGATACGATTGCAGTGTCAGGTCTGCGCATTATCTGTGCGTGGGAAACGATCCCCAGCACCCTACAGATGTTTTAAAAATATGTAAAAATATTCTGTACTTGCGTTAATAGTATATAAAATGATTCGAAAAATTACAGGACATTTGGTTCAGTATCAAGCGAGATATAATAAATTATTCTATTAAACTTCACTTGCCACCCTCAAAATTGTGCAATAATGAGCCGGGGCAATAATAATAATTGTAAATAGCATTAACACGCGCCCGTTAAAACAAACCCGAAGCGAAACGAATAAGAACTGACAGAGATACGAATGTAGTGTCTGCTCTGCGCGTGGTCTGTGCGTGGGAAACGTCTTCCAGTGCCTCACCGCATGTTAAGAAAAATATGAAAAAATGTCAAAAACTTGCGTTGATAATATATAAATTAGTACGCAAATCTATAAAACATTTGGTAAAGTATCAAGCGAGATATAATAGATTACTCTACAGTTTGTGCATGGGAATGCGATAAATCGCTGTAATCTCCTCAGGATCGCCGAATGACGAGTCGGACTAATAATACAACATGTAGAGGACATTGAGACGCACCCATGGAACAAAACCCGACGAGAAACGGATGAGAACTGAGAGAGATATGATAGATTTATGTAAAGAATCACGTGTATATGTTTGAAATTCACGTGAGTAATGAGTTAAACCTCCCACAACTTTTTTTGCGCACAGACATATGCGAAAAAGTACTAATACCCCCACTCAAAACCGGTTCAAACCCCCCATGGGAGCAACTCTTTTTTGTTCCCATGTGACTTTGGCATGTAAAATAGGTAGATAAATAGATAAAATAGGTAGATAGGTAAATAAAAGTAGATAAATAATCGTAAATAGTAATAAAATAATAACAATAAAATAAAAATAGTAGTTGTTTGTTGTTGTTGTATTAGTTTTTTTTTTTTTGTTGTTTTCGCTAATTAGTTATTAAATAATAATAATAATAGTAGTAGCAGTTCTGTTAGTTATTCTTTTTCGCTGATTAGCATATACCATTAGGTAATAATAGTAATAGTGGTGTTATATTAGTTAGGTTTTCGAAATTGGCATGTACTATAAACAGTAGTACTGTTCTCTCTTTTTCTTTGTATTTCGCTATTAGCATGTAAAATAAATGGGTAAATAAAATCGGATAATTAAAATGCGGAGCAGAATCAAATGAAGGGTTCCATATAAGGTAAAAAATTCACGGCAACATGGCACAACATCAAGCAGAAACATCCAAAAAAAAATAAAACCAAGGTGTCCTGCTTAAAATAAAATCTGAAAAAATTGCGGCAATGTGGGACAACAAAGGAAAATAAATTTTATATAAAATAAAATCCAGAAAATTCACGGCAACATGGGACAACATAGAATAACAAGATAGAAACATAAAAGCCAGGTGCTCTCTATAAAATAAAATCCAAAAAATTCATGGTAACATGGGGAACACTGTTTTACAAACTTACAAAGGAATTACAGACAAAATTTGATTGGTTGGGGTGGTGGGTTTGCAGAAATGGTGAGGAAATAAAGGAAAACAACAAATAAAAGGGCCTCACTTGCACTGCATTGCCAAGAGGGGGAAAGGCATTTCTCATTCCTGTGTATGATTGATGGAGCGGGGTTTGGGGCGCAGCCCCAAGGCTCTCCGCAGGAGTGGGGTTCGGGGCAAGGCCCTGATGGCCCTCCGCAGGAGCAGGGGTTCAAGGGGCTGGCCCCTTGGTGTAAAAAATAATCAAATATATCCAGGGGGGTTTGGGGCGCAGCCCCAGGCTCTCCGCAGGAGTGGGGCTTGGGGCAACGCCCCAATGGCTCTCCGCAGGAGCAGGGGTTCAAGGGGCTGGCCCCTTGGTGCATAAATAATTACCATATATCTTATTATTTCTTTAGCACAAGGGGAACAATAATAACAAGGATGTCATTGCATGGGGCGGAGCCCCAATGGGGTCTGGGGCAACGCCCCAGGGGGGTTCGGGGCGCAGCCCCGATGCCCTCCGCAGGAGCTAGAGACCGCTAAACGCGTGGGTGTGCGAGGAACGAGCACCCCACGGGTTAAAGGTCTCTAGTATATAATAAAGTCAGGTTGAATATATTGTTCTATTCAGTTTTTGAATGGGTCAATTCAGTTTAATTAACGTAAGCAATGCAGTTCTCTGAGCCGTGGGACCTGTTTCAATGTTAACAATTGTACTAGATGACCTATCTTGGTGTAATAATAAAAGATGGAGGGGACGTTTGAGCGATTCCAGTGCAAAAGACCCCATGAAAAACGGTTGAAAACTGAGGGAGATACGAGTGGTGGCCCATTCCAGCGCGAAATGTGT